AGGAAAATATAGAGTTAACAAATCCATCCATTGAGTACGACTTCAAAAGAAAGATAAAAGTCACAGCGAATCGTTCGAGGAACCCGGCTATGTTACCAATTCACCAGCAATGACTTCAAAATAGGAGAATGTACCCGTTTCCTCGTTAGATAATACGATTTACTCTCTAACGTGGCCTTTCCTCTATTAAGAGCGTTTATTTATTGAACATAGCGCTAAGTGTCTAAGTAATTTGGGCTCTAAGAAAGAATCCCCCCTAGATAGAGATAAAGAAGGCGGGCAGTGTATCTGGTCGTAGCAGTTGGCAATGGTTTCATTTGGGTTGAAACATTCTTTCTTTTTGGACTTGATTCATTTCGGAAACCATTTTTTCTTACACTTTTGTACTTTTTCCCCCCTTAAATTAAACTTTTCATTCGTCATAAAAATTCAACTTTAGAACGATTGATTTTCTGATATCAAATCAATATGGAACCAATTGAATATTTTGAACAGATAGGGAGACGAAACAAAACAAAACGCAATGAACGAATCTTATCTTTTTTTTAAATGGTTATACTTTTCATTGTGATAACCATGCAACAACAATGCGATATTCACTTTTTATTTAATAAATTATTTATTTGATTTGCGAGATTGTTTTATTTTTAATTATTATATTTTTTTTGCGTATTTTAAACCATTAAAAAAATATATTTTCTAGTATTATTATGCACAATGTATGCAATTATTTTTTTATTTTATTTGATTATTAATTAAATTTACGTATTATTTTTTTTTGGGTCATTGAAAATAATTTATATTTAAAAAATAAATATTTTTCTCCATTTTTTCTTTTTATAAAATACAACAAAATTTCTCTCATTCTCTATTTATTTATTCATCATCAAGTTTTTTCGTTAAATTCATTTAATAAAAAAGTTATCTTTTTCTTACTAACTTTTCATTTCAAAAAGGGGATCTTTTTAGAACTTGTTGCCCAATATCCAAGGGAGTAGAAAGGAATAGGAATAGATTAGAGAATAATTGCCCTGTCCCCACCTCCGCCTTTTCCCGGAGTCACGTTTTTTCCTTCCCTTTTTTTTAGCCGTGTGTAAGAAGAAAGTGGACTTGTCATTTTTTTTTTGTTCCAATTGAATTCAAATTAGTTTCATTGTCCAGTACAGTACATATACACTCCACAGAATTTTTGCGCGATTTCAGTTTGGTGCAAAAAAAGAAACGATTAGAGAGTCATTTGGTTAAAGATAGAAAAATAATTAACCATCTAAATAAAGATTATCCATCTGTTCCATTTTGTTCCACTAGTTGGTCATTATACATAACTCATCATCTCATTTAAGCCTTCAACGTTTTCCCCAGACAAGTCAGTCATTTTTTTTTTTTTTAATTAAAAAAAATAGGGGATAGTTTGTTTGTACATCATCATCATTCATACTTTACTTCCATCACATAATCATCATTCTTATCACATATAGAAATAGATTTTCATTTCATACAATCTATTTTTGCAAAAAGTTTAGGGGTTTTTTTGTTTTACATTTTTATTTAAATTTACAAAAGTAGTAAACTGACAAACAGACATAATGAAGACTTCGAAACAAACACTACCTCCACCTCCACCATCGACAACAACAACTCCCACTAATGGAGCAATAACTCATAATCATCACCATCCAATACCTTTATATAATAATCCAGTTTCACCAAATGTTAAACGAATGAACAATAAAGAATTACGAATCCACGTTCCAGCATCATCTACAACAGTACCTTCTCTGGATAACGAAATACCTTCGCTTCATAACCATCACCATCGAATAGCACAAGCATTAGGAGAACCAGTTCGATTTGCAAAAACAACAACCATAAGTCCATCGTCAATAAATTTTGATAGAATATCGCATCTACCTACTCCCGTTGTCAATAGTGGATCATTTTTCAATTATAGTCATGCAAATGAATCCAGTCTTTTGCGAGATTCTGCTAGATTAGCCATATCTTCAAGAGATAATGACCTTGAGGACGAAGAACCATCATCGGCATCGCCATTATCGTCGCCAAATAGAAATATTTTGCATTCAAAGCTGCCACCACCACGTGCATCAGCAGCATCTCCCACGCATAGGGTTATATCTGATTATAGACCCTTAGGAAGAAACAATAGTTTATTAGAGAAGAGTAATATCTCGAGAGTTAATCATAGAAGACATATTTCCAACCCAATTAGTTTTCAAGAAAGTGCCTCTATCCCAAGTACGTCTTCAAGCACGGCTACTACTACCACTAACGTAACCAACCCCAGTACAGTTGTTATAAACACAGATGGCGGAGTTGAATCACCAATCACACCTTCTGGATCACCCATTAGTCCATCATCATCCAAGTATTTCCAGAGACGGTTTTATTCACCAAGATTAAATCGTACATTTGATTTTGTTCGTGAAATTGGAACCGGGAATTTTAGTACTGTTGTTCTTGGAAGATTGAAAGAAATTGTCCTTGATGATGACTATGAAGAAGGTGAAGGTGAAGTCGAGGCTGCTATAAAGATAATCACAGTACCTGTTGAATCACGAACCCAAATTTTTAATTTCAAAGCATTTATTCGACGTGAATTGAATTTATTATGTCATATTTCATATCACCCTTGTATCACTTCGTTGATTGATTATTCCATAACCATGAATATATCCGATGAAGAAATCCAACAAGAATTAATTGAAGAACATGAGGAGAATCCGGTTATAACTTTAGATGACGAAGAGATCTATCAAGTTTCAAGAAATAATCAACAATTAATATTTATGAATTATTGCCCTGGTGGAAATTTATTGAATTTCTTATTGGAATATAAACAGAGCAGTCATTTACGTAATGTAAGTTATTGGATCTTATTGAAACGAATCATCTGTGAAATAATGGTTACCATTGCCTTTTTACATAAAAAGGATATAGTTCATCGTGATATCAAACTCGAAAATATCTTATTATTATACACCCCTGAAGAAATCGATCAATTAATTGAGTATAATCAATTAACGAATACACCATTAATAAATATCAGTGATTTTGGACTTTCCAAAAAGCTAGGCTATAAGGATCAATTGTTATCAACCAGATGTGGATCCCAAGATTACATATCTCCAGAAATCTTAATGGGATTGAAATATGATGGGAAATTAACCGATACTTGGTCAATTGGAGTATTAATCTTTTCAATCTTGGAAAACAGGTTACCATTCGATTTACCACCAATGGATTCACCTGGTGCTGGATGTGTTGGGAAAGTATCACCTAGCGTTATCAAAAGGAAAAGATCGAGGAATAATGTTGCCCATAGAATAGCAATGATTGATTGGGATTGGTATAGGATTCATCAATATTTAGCTGATGATAATATCCCAGCGGAAGTTAAGGTGATTTTTGGCCAATTGAAGTCGATTGTTGATGTGGTTTTAGTTAGAAAAGATCGGAGGATCAATTGTGGGCAGTTGTTGGAAAGAGAGGAATTCCAATGGATTAAGGATTATTTACCGGATGGAATTGTCAATGTTCCTTAGGATGAGGATCGTTGGTATATACAGAGTTGTATTTATTTTATTTATTCGTTAGTATCTTTTTATTAATGTTTTTATTTGGGTTATTATTATTATTTGTCAGTATGACTTTTATACTGACGTTTTTTACATGTCCCTCCTTTTCGATGGTTATTGTTAATGTTGTTTACGTTGCTATTTTTAAAATTTTATTCATTTCTTGTTGCTATGGACCCATATAGCATTGTTTCCTTCTATTTATATTAAATTAATTAATTTAGAGCTTTTGATATAGAATACATATTTGTCTTTTACCTAAATAGCTTGTTCCTTTCACTAGGTATATTTACATATTCCTATCTATCTATAAATAGAAATTCTAGAATAATACAGTTGTTATGAATGTTTTGTTAGAAACTATAAATTATACGATTTCGTTTTCTAATAATGCCAATAAAGAAGGATGAATCATGTAGATGTATATTCAAGACCATTCAATAGATAATTATGGCTAATAACGAGGAACGGGGAAGAAGCAGAAGACTTACACCAACCAGTTATTACCACCAGATGAATATCCTCATACTGGTTGCAAAAAAACAAAAAATCCTGCACAAAAAAGAGCCTATGGAACAATACTAATAGGAAGATTCCCTTGAATTCAACTTGACTATAATGAACAGTTTCTATAAATTCAACCTCTAAATGAATTCAATCTAATTACTATACGGCATTAAGTTTACATCAAGGTTGCAAATGTAACTAGGAATAAATGTCGTCAGATTAAAATGTCGCAAGATTAATTCTATGTCTCGCTTGCACACTGTTTTTTGAATTTTCATTTTTTCTTACAACCACCAGAAAATTCTTCTAATTCTTACAACACAAGTTAACAGTAGTTTGTATATGCTTATTACCAATCGAAAGGTTGAATTCCATTTCAATCAAAAGGTGACACACGCATACACACACCAATAGATCATCATCTACAATAAGGCGTCATTATCAACAAGCATAACTTTTAGTTGTATTGATACATCAATTTAATCAAACCAAAGTTATCCTAACAACGTAAATAGACAACCATCAGAACCATCCTCATTAGCCAACGAAATCATAAAGGAGTCATACCCAAATAGACCCTAATCCATCTTATTTTTCATTAACATTCACAATCATCATACACAGCCTGTTCCATATATTGTCATTTTTGTATTATTTTCCCTTGTAATTTTAATTTATCAGCCGTCCTTTGTTTTGAATATACCTACCTTAACAACATCAGTTTAATAATCAAGTAATAGTATGCACAAGATGGAGACACCTAATGGAATATCGGATTCAACCAATAATAGTAATATTGCTAAAAAAGGTCAACTACTGCCACCTCCAGAAATACCTCATATCACCAACAATATACTTCCATTGTCACATGTCCTTAAATATTATACTCAAGAAGCGTACAAGCAATTAACAAGACTAATAGAAAATCTATCATTAACAACACATTCAGAATCAGATGTTGAACGAAAGAAGAAGTTTCTTGAAATAATTATTCAATTACGACAAGATTTTATCAAAATATATACCTTAGTTAAATGGTCAGCAAATGCCAAAGATGTTGGTAAATTTATTGATTTATTAAATTGGTTTAGAATGCAAGAATTCTATTTTGAACAATTGACTTTTCAATTAAATGCTTTAAATGGCTTTAGTGGTGCAAAATTACCAAATTCTGATTTATTCACAGCATTAGAAGTATTATTTAAAAAGAGACCTCAATTACCTTCATACAATCATATTAAATCAAGTCCAATTAGTCCTCAGAAAACTTTGGAAGTATTGAAGGATTTAAATTTGGCATTAATGACAAGATTTGCATTGATGGATATACCGACGCGATTTTTGAATAATTATGATATAAAAGATGGAAGAGTATATATCTCAGTTCCAAATGAATTTCAAGTTAGCATTACTGTAGGGAATGAATTAATAATTGATGATCCTAAAGATTATCATAAATCACCATTTTACTTTATTGATTTCAAATTCTTATTTGGAATTAACCCAGAGACATTATTAATAACTCATAGAGATAATAAAATAATCACAAGATTACCACCTAGTTCTCATGCAAAATTGGAAAAAGTTGCCAATCAAATCTTATTGAATCAAGGATTGGAAGGCTTGTATGAATTACTACATAAATATTCCATTTCATTTAAATTATATCTTATTGCCAAACAGCTAAAAGAATTATTGATAAATACAAGATGGAGAAATAATATACAGATCAATTATCAAAATGGAAAGTCTTTAATTATTGTAAATTATTGGTCTTCACATTATCTTTCCCGAAATTGGAAGTCATTCTTAGAATTGGGAATTGATAGGAATTATAATTTAAATTATAGATGGTTTAAGAATGGGAAATATGATTTACAAAATTCATTTGATGAAATCTTTCAAAGTCGCTTTGCCAATAATGAAGAAGTATATCATCATACCAATGAGAATGATTATGAAAATGCAATTATTGATGATGATAGTATGGACAATGACGAAGATTCACCAGAGGACCTAAACGTCGATCTTATCTTAAACGTGGTTGTCAATAAACATGCGGAACTACTCATGGATCAAGTATATCACAAATTAACAGAAAGATTTAATGACGCTGCCACGGGCGGTGGGGAGCAAATCTCCATGATTAATTGTCATCAATTGTTATTAAAATTGTCCCCTAATAAATCAACCATTTTTGCAATTAATCCATTAACAGGATATTTCTATTTTATTGATCCATCACCTTTACAAAATCAAATCACGAAAAAGATAAACTCCCCACCTCCTCCAGGACTGATTATTAATAACAATAAAAACTTCACGACTGAAGCAGATATGATAAATTATGTGATTGATCAATTGATTCAATTAAGATTAGAGGTATTTACTAAAGAGATTAATAATAAATTATTCACAACAGAATGGATTAATAATGATATCATAACCCTAAATGATTATGAAAACAATAAACTCTCGATGAATTCAAATATAGGAATTAGCAAGATCCAATTCTATCGTCGGAAAAATTGGCCATCATCTTCATGGTTTTTGATTAATCTTGTCAGTGGAATAACCACAACTACTTTCTGGTGGGTAGCCAGAATAAAATCAATCAAAGGGGAATGGAAAATCCAATGGGTACAAAAAATCAAATTTGACCAATCATTGTCAATGGGTGAAGAAGAAGGAGGTGATGATGATGATGATGAGCAAGAGGCCAATGGTGGAGTTAGTCCACAATATTTAAATTATGAATTCTTTACGAATTTATCCACATTATGTGCCAATATGATCATTGATCATGTTATTCTTGAAGAATTACAATTTAGAAATATCAAGTTTTTGAAAGTTAACCAGATTGAAGCAGTATTGCATAAATTTCATATTGATGGTATTCCTCAAGATGAGAATGTCGATGAAGATGAAATAATCAAAAGTGAAGATGGAGTTCCAGTATCAGCAAGAGATAAACCATTGATTTATGAATCCGTTATTATGATATATAATAACAATGACTTGTTGCCGATATACAATTCCTCCACTAGTTTATTCCTCAAGATCAAATTAATCAACCATCATAATACAAGTTTAATGAAATTACGCTTATTCGGAACCTTGCGTAATTTATCCCTCAAGACTTCCCCGGCCAATTTTCTTGAATTGAATTTAAGAATCAATGAAACAAAACAATATTTCCAAATAGATGATGTGATCAATTTGTCGAATACAACAGCCACCACTATGAATGACACCAGAGGGATTGGGGTTGAATCAAATAATCAACTTCTTGAAAAGTTATTTAATAACTTGAATAAATTTGGAAAATTGATCAAGATTGTTGATCAATTAAGTAAAAATAATATTGAGATTATAAATAACAATTCAGTTAATGATATCACCATAAAAGTGGACGATGGAAAATTGGGACATATATTGATTAAATTACCCGAATCTGCCAATGATTCAATTAGACTCATGCCGGGAAATGCCTGTGCCAAGGAAGTGGAATTAATTTTACAATATATTAACGGATACTTGAAGAGTACTTCTATTGGAACTAGGGACAAAAATTCAAAGGTTACACCTTCAATTGTTGGTATAATTCGTTATCTCCAAGAAATAATCCCCATTATAAACTCAATAAGCCAGATTAAACAATTAGTCTCATCGAAAAAGTTCAGATTGCCAAATGGATTACCGAAATTGAATTTCGATGTTATGTTCAATAGCTTGGATTCGGTACAGTATATCTTTCATCTAAGTTCTGCAAACCCAACCAGTTCCAAAAAGATTGTCAAGGATAGAATTGTGATTAATGTAAGTTTCAAACAAAATAAATTTGATACAATAAGACGAAATTTGATTAAGATCAGTTTGAAGGATAATTTAAATCAACGAAACTTGAAATATAAGAAATTATTTGAATTGATATTTAAATCTATATCCGACTTTGATTTACTGAGAAATAAAGAGAATGATGAAGTGTTGGTTAAATTGAATTATGATTTTTTGGTTAGTATTAACATTGCCGAAGAAATCATGAATCGAATTGGAAATAGTTTTATGCAATATCTACAATTGGAATCTAAATAGAGTATAAGCTTCACTTTTTCTAAATTAATAAACATAAAATAAACAAATAAACAAATATCTACGTCATGCATTTACAGAAATCCTTCCAAAATCCTCAATGCCTTCTCTAACCTCTGTATACCTGCCTGATATCTCTCACCATCCAAAATCATATCCGAAGTCAATCGAGATAACGAATCAATGATCTTTTCAAGAAGTTGTTTTTCTCGAATAGGGATATTCAACAGATTGAATTCCTGACCAATAACTGCTCCATTCATACTTTCGAGTAAACTTATCAATGTTGTATAATTAAATTGTTTTAATTGCCCCACACCTTGGGTTCCCTTTTTGGATTTCCGTTTATGCTTCCTCTTGATGACAGTACCTGATCTATGGATAGATTGTTTAACTGATTTACTAGGGACAGCGCCAACATGGGGGTCACCTATGTCATAATACTCATCTTCGTCGTTGATATTTTCCTTTTGAGACCTGCTTTGTTGGGCTATTTTGGGACTTTGGAGTTCTTTCTGGACTGTAGACAGTTTTAGTTGGAGGGTGGATGAAAGTTCTCGAGCGTGTCTTATACTTTCAATTGATGGACGGGGTGGAAGAGACAGGGAAGATGTTCTCTTAGTAGATGGCTCGGGATTGCTTTTGGATTTAGTTGTTTTTAGTGGGGCGATTGCATGAAGATTGAGAATTTTGCTTCCTAGGGAATGGCGGATAGTCGATTCATCGATCACATCATTTTCAGGCTCTGGAAGTGTCAGTTTGGTACTGCTTTGTTTGTTTGTTTCCTTATCAACCTTTTCTTCAACTGGAGGAGACGAGTTCTTATGGGGATTGGAATCATCAAAATCATCAGCTAAGGATTTAATAGAATGTGCATCATGCATAAGTTTTTCCAAATCGTCATTTATCTGAATCGATCTTCTCTTGCCATCCTTAGCTAACTTAACCAAATCCAGGCCAAATTCATTCTGGGGAAGATTCGGAGTCGCACTCATGGGTCTTCTTAATGACCGGGCTGGGATAGAGCCTTCGATTTTGGTATCGTAAGTCCTATCTGGGTCTAGATTTGTTAGTAATTTTTTACTCTCGGTAGGGAGTTTTCCTAAACGAATTGAACTCTGGTCTTCAGTGTCAGTTACTATTTCACGTTCGTCATCTTCTTCAAGACCATTGTTTGCTAATTCCTTGGTATCCACCACTTGTTCAGAATCGATGGGGTTTACTGGGGGACTGTCATTTCCATTATCATCCGCACCAGGGACATAGCGTAGATTTGCTTTCTCACTGTCATGTCTGTGCACTTTGAGTTCTACCGTTTCATCTTCAACCAATTTTCCAGAATACTGAGAAACTGAAGACATGACGGATTCTCTCTTATTTGTTTTACTAAATGGGACCATTGGCAGATGACTGAATAGATCTTGACTATCAGTGAGTTGTCGAGGGACTTTGTCAGGGGCAGGTGTTTTGATAGTTTGTTCCGGTGTTGGTGATTTGATGTTTTCTTCTACTTTGCATTCGGCTTGTTGCTCGCCTTCCACATCCTCAGGAATGGCATCTGGACTAATTGAGTTGGTTCTGTTGAAGGTGGGATGATTTTCCTGGATTGCTTTGGTTAATGATGGGGATGATAAATGTTCTTTTGAAAGTCTAGTTTCATTGGAATCGATGCTGACAGAGGATGGTGATTTGGGACTGCGGATTTCTTCCTTCGAGGGACTCATTTAAGCTATAGAACAATGATAAAGTAGGATTATTTAGTTAGTTAAGTGATTTAGCCTTGATTCAATGAAGGGGGAGAATGAGAGAAAGAAAGAGATGGTTGACTTGTCATCTAGTCTCATTCCTTGTTATTGTATTTCCTAATTAGGAAAGATGATTAAAAGCGACATTTAACTACGACATAAAACAAAAATGTCGTTTTATTGTTATCTTTCCTCTTTTTTGTATTTATAGAGATAACATTAATTCGATTTCTTAATTAATTACCAATTTCTTTCTTTTCTTCACTGTTGGTTTTTCCTCTTCTTCCTATCTTCTGTTCTGTTATTATTTACGATTATATCCCGTTAAAATGATAATGAGGTTTTCTAAGCAAATGTCGTGTCTTGGGATTATTCACAAGAATTGACTTGAAAATCGAAATATCTTTCGGATTATTCAGTTTGTCCAAATTACAATTTGTCCGTGGTCAGTATCTGAGTATTTTCATGTATTCCCTATTTCACCTCTTCAATTATTGACTAAGTAAACTGTCTCTTTTTCTCTTGACTCTCTCTTTGTCCATTAGCTGCACAATCTGCTCAAATATGCAACAAATCATGTTAATGTCAAATCTTTCATCTAACTCATCGATTGATTATACACAAAAAATATTCAAATCAAATCATCTGTAAAGTATTCTATGTCGACTTGTTACAACCCATTTATTATTGAAATAAGATAACCCCCAAATGAAAATAAAAATAAATTATGAGATTAGCTTTTAAATCATTTTATTCAACGAATTCTATAAGTTCATATTTCTCTAAACAACCATTGAATTATGAAACATATCTTCAACGATTAAAGAAATTCCCAACTATTTATAACACATGTGACTCCAAAGATAAGCAATCATTACTTATAGATTATATCAATGCGAATAGAACTTTACAGTTACACAATACATATTATACTCGTTCTAATAATAAAAATAAAGACTTTCTTGGAATTCAATTTTCACCTAACAACCAAGAACTAGAAAGTCAATTATATAAAACATTATTCAACAAGTATAAACATGATTCAATACCTAATGCTTTGATTATTAAGCAATATATCAGCACTCCACCGCAACCTAAAGATGTTCAACAAACCATAGAAATAATACAGGAGAATTTAAAGTATAATTTACGACACAATAGAGATGATGATACCTCGGTCTTCTATACGGCATTGAATTCGATATTGGATCAGAATGATTATCTTAATGGATTCCGATTGATAGACGTAACCCTAAATTCTCCAGAGTATCAAGAATTAAAGAAAATACGAATGTTAAGAGGAATTACAGGATTTGTTATTGGAAATATTGTATTGACGGGAGTTGAATCAACACTTTTACCTTTTGTACCTGAACTTGTCTGGTTAAGTGTCAACTTAATTTCCACATCATTAGTGGTTTATGGCTTATATGGAATACAATTGATTCAAGTGGTTGGCAGGGTAAGTTGGAGGAAGTATATATCACAACTTTATAAGTATTTACATCAACAGGAACTAATTGCCGTCAATAAGATAATTACACATTTAGAAGAACACAATGAAGTAAATGTCCGAAACTATCATCATTCCAAAGTACGGGACTTGCTGAATTTGAAAATGTTTACTACGAATGATTACATTTTGGAAATGCCAAATGAATCCAATGAATTAATAGCTTTGAATAATCAAGATAGCAACAATCAACCAGATGAAGATGTAAAACAATTACAGCTATTCTTTAAACAAGAATTAAACAAGCGAAAAATGGCCTTGTGTGATTTATCTGATGAGTTGTTGTTTTTAGAGTATTGGAGAACCCATGGTGAGAATTTTAAATGGGTTGAACCCGATCAAGATCCAGGAGAAATTGTTAAATTGAATATCAAGAATAAGTAATAAGGATTAATCGCTTCAATTAAGTCAACGTACGCTTGATAATTGTGAAGGTTCTTTCAGAACCACTTGGTGACCTATTTGAATCACGTGACACATCCCCCACACAAATGACCTCCCTTTTTTTTGGTTGGAGGATAATAAATCAAATCACACCATCATCTCATTTAAATTAAATGACACCATAATAAATATCTACCTTTTTACTATTAACACACAAGAAAGTAAAAGAAAAAGATTAAACAACCTAAAATGACAATTGCTAATCACTTTGTTGAATTAGACTCACATACCAAAAGTTTGGATATAATTTCGGATATTAAATTCTCACCATTTAATCAATTGGCAGTTAGTACTTGGGATAATGAAATTTTGTTATATGATTGTAAAAACTTCTTAGAACCACATGAACCACCCACTAAGGACCCAGTAGCTATAATAAAAACTGACGATACTCCTTTATGTTTGTTATACACCCCATTGAATCAAACTTTTGCTGGAGTATTAGATGGAACTGTACGAATTTTAGATTTTGAGAATATGAAACTAGGTTCCAATATTGCAAGTGAAGCACTGAATGATGAAATCGGTGGAGGAATTAATAATATATGTAATGTAGAACCCCTCAATGCAATTGCATGTAGTTCCTTCAATGGGAAATTACAACTCCTTGATCCAAGACAAGTGAAACCTATCCAAGTCATCCCATCAACCTCCCCCAGACAAAAAATAACAGCCATGGACACATCGGATAAGTTCATAACATGTGCAATGAATGCCAACAAGATCGAGATCTACGATTTCAGAAACTTACATCAAGCTATGGAAACTCGTGAAGTCGGTCTAAAATATCAAGTCAAAGATTTGAAAACTTTCCCCAATAATCAAGGATTCGCTCTATCTACCATCGATGGTCGAGTCCTGATTGAATACTTTGATTCATCTCCAGAAGTTCAACAAAATAAACGATTCACATTCAAATGTCATAGACACCAAGATAGCTTCACAGGTGCCGATTTGGTCTATCCTGTCAACTCAATAGCATTCCACAAGACATACACCAGTACTCTATTCACCGCGGGGTCGGACGGTACTGTGTGTTTATGGGATTGTGACAAAAAGAAACGAATGAGGCAATATCCCAAATTCTTATCACACGAGGGTGAGCCTGAAAGTGTGGTGAAGATTGGCTTGAGCAAAGGGGATGAATTGATTGCGGTTGCAACTAGTGACGATAATTATATGAGAAGGAGAAGGCTTTCTGAGAGTGAGAGTCTGAGGGCTCCTAGTCGGATATATATTAAGTGTATTGGCGAGACTGAATGTATGCCCAAGAGAGCAACTTAAAGTCATTTTATAGTGTTTATTTAGCTTTTTAGATATGGTTATTATTTTTATATCTTTGTTCTGTAAGGTATTTTCTTATCTCACCAGTCCCAACTGGAAAAGGTCAGTTGTACTATACAAATGAACTATTAAATAGTTTTCTACTGGCGTTTTGAATGTCAGTTTCTCACAGTGAAAAATAGAGTTGCGATGAGCATTGATTTCTACATTTTTCACTCCATGAAATTTGTGTTTCTATTATTATTATACTGATGCCCATCATGACCGACGACTTTTCCAATCGTACTGAGAAATTCATATCATGGCTACAATCTAACCATGTCCATGTTTCTCCCAAAGTTCAAATCACCGATCTTCGTTCAATCAACCAAGGAAGAGGTTTAATCGCAGTTCAGGACATTAAACTTGATGAAACCCTTTTCACAATTCCCCGGAACATTCTAATCAATGTCGCCAATAACGCGTTGATAAAGACATATCCTGATCTATATGAGAAGCTACTCAAGCTAGACCATTGGCATTCACTTATAATCATCCTTTTGTACGAATGGAAATGTATAGGCAAAGCCAGTAAATGGTCCGAATATTTGGACGTGTTACCTATTAACGATGAAGAGAACTATCAGTTCGATCAATTGGTTTTCTGGATGGACGAAGAATTAGAATATTTGAAACCTAGCTTGATTTTGCAAAGAGTTGGAAAAAAGCTGGGATATGACTTGTTTGCTAAAATACAATCGATTGTACAAGAATTGGGTATTGTTGAATTAAAAGATGTCGCGTTGGACGTCTACGAGAAAGTAGCAGCTATTATTATGTCATATTCGTTTGATGTCGAACTGCCAGATGCAACCGATAGTGATAATGAAGACGAGGCAGATTTAGATGAAGAACAAGTCGACGGAAATATACTTAAAGATGGATACTTCAAGTCAATGGTACCCCTAGCAGACACACTAAACGCCGATACGAACCTCAATAATGCGGTATTGACTTACAGCCCCACTGATCTAATCATGACCAGTATCAAAACCATTAAGAAAGGCGAACAGATTTATAACACGTATTCTGATCATCCCAACAGTGAAATCTTGAGACGATACGGATATGTGGAACCAAGCGGATCAAAATTCGATTTTGGCGAGATTCCACTCTTGACAATCAAGGCTCATTTTATTAAAAAGTATGAAATATCTGACTCATTCATTAATGAAATCCTAACTGATATTTCCAAAGCTTCCAAACAGAGCCAAGAAGAGGATGTAGAGAATGATGATGAAGTCGCTGAGATTGTACTTGATTCATATGATTGTTTTAAGTCCCATGAAGTGATTATGGAATTTGTCTTCCTTATTCAAATCCTCACTATTGTTTTCCAAACCAATAGATCCGAATTGAACAACTCGGATATCTACAAACGTATCTTCAAGAAATGCTACCAATTGGTTGAATCCAAGAGATTGACTAATGGATTTGTAGAGAATTATAAGGAAACAATCGAAGAAAGATTGTCAGAATATCCAAGGGTTGCTTCTGAACCATTTGGAAAGTCTATGGATGTTGGGAGAAAAGCAATGGCTGAAGCGGTTCTTAAGTCAGAATATCAATCTTTGAAAAATTGCTTAGATGTTGAAAAGACCTTGAAAGAGACATTGGGAAGTTATAAACTTATTGAAGACGAGAAATTGATTAGAAATATAGTTAAGAAAAGACCAACAGAGGATGGTAGGTCTGGACAGAAAAATAAAAAGTCAAAAAGATGATAGATTGTGTGCAATACATGATAAGATACATAATTCATAGTAGAATCTCTTTTTATAGATTAGTTCCACGGCGTGAATGATTAAGACAAATTCAAGGACGTCTCATGTTGCGTATCTCCTCATTCCATTTCTTACGTAGACGGCTATCCACATCTTCATTCTTCTCGATGCCATTCGCATACACTTCCCAATACTTTCAAATTGTTTTGGAACCACACTCAATTCAACAAGACAAATTAATTACTTCAGTAGACATAGATAACTTTGAAGCACTCTAAGGTCTGCCTCTGATTTATATTGCCCCGCGGACTTAACCCAACGAGGTAGAATATCAGCTGCACTGACCAGGCTCCCTTCTGAAATCGCAAATCCTTATTTCCAACTTCTTTAAATCTTATCCTTTTTGATTTATTATATTACTACTGTCAAGCTATTCTTTGTATATCCTTTTAGAAATCAATTAGTAGAGAGCATCAAGGTTTCCAACAGATTGGTAAACAACAAATGGAGGATTATTAAACTACCTTTAGAAATATTTGAGAGTATAATTTATTTCATACACGGGGTGAATATTTGGAACAATACCTTGAAATTCTTTTTACAGAGAGTTTGTTGTAACAAAGCTTATCCCTTTATGGAAATTTACCACTTTTGTGTAAGGAGTTTAGGGGACCAAACTCCAAATATACTAAATAAACCGCAAAAAATCAAAAAATGCAAATTATCACCGAGGAATTAAACAATCTATCACCGAGAAAAAAAATTTTTTATTTGAAATTTTCCAAACTAAGCCAAATTAATTAGGCGAGGGAATCAAATAATAGAAAAATAAATAAAAAAATATCCAATGAACTTACGTTAATTTTATGAGCCATTCCATGCAATTTCACTCATACTCTGGCTGAAGCCCGCAAAAATAGAGAACTATAAATAGTCTCCCAAAATTCTATTTCAATCATTTATAACTCTTCTTCAAGAAACCATTTCCTTGAGTCCTGAATCATATCGTTATTACAGAATGGCTGAAACACATCAATTAGGCTCTTCGCGAAAGAAACAGAGAAGATGTCTTGAATTATTCAATTTGCCCGATAACTTAATTAAACTCATAATTTTCTTTATTCCCGAAGAAACCTTAGAAACTTATCTTGACATTCCATTCTTAGGAGGATATGCTGCAGACAGGGTCTTTCAATTTGTTGAAATTGTCCCCTCTTATTCACCGCCTGATGACGAGTGGCGAAGAAGAACCCCAAGACTGCAGGTTCCATTAGAAGCCTTCAAATCTATTTCTAAGAGAAAGCTTCTTGGAGAAGAGTTTCTAGACTATTTTAGTCAAATTGAGCATGGTGCCAGTGGTGGCACATACAGACGTTTGAAAGCCTATGAATTTATTCAATTGAGTAAAACACATCCAAAATTTATTCCCAAGATTGTTCATTTCATTCTTCTCGACCAATTTATTTGCATTGAGAAGAGCTTTCCTCATATTTTGAAAAACTTGCCAAGAATTGATATTTCATATGGCAACTATAATAAATTACCGTCTTGCCTGTTACTGCTGCAGTACAAGATTTTCCAAGTTTTAGATGTGCCATCAGAGTATATAGACGAGAGATTGTTGAGAAACATCACCTCACTTTGTACTGATACCATTCCAAAACTTTCTGATGAAAGTTGGGGTGAGATAATTCAAGAACTTGAGGTGACGGCTTCATTGGATGAAGTCTCTCGTTTATTTCCCAATTTGAGAAGGTTAAAATTGGTTAACAGGATCAATGTTTCAGAGGATTCCTTCCCGGAATTCCCCTCATTGGAATTCTTGCAGTTATCTATTGAGCAATTCTTTGAAGAATTGGATATTTCGCACTTGGTAAACTTGAGAGAGTTCGCAGCTGAAACTTTGTTTGGGTTGGATGAGTTAGAAAGAATTAAATTTCCTGTTGGAATTGAGCGGATTATTTTGACAGGGGTTGAAAGTGATTTGGAAGAAAATTTAGAGAGTTTAGATAGTATTGAATCATACCCAAATTTAAAAGAATTTCGAATTGGTCATGGGAACATAATGACACCTACAGAGGCATTTTCGAATGATCTTTCCTACCCACAAAGTTTACAAAAGCTTGAAGTGAGTTTGTTTGACTTTACAATTGGTGCTGACTCGGAAGAACCATTTGTTACGATTGGGGAGAACTTTCCATTACCTAATAATTTGAAAGTACTTCACCTTGATACTTACATGGGGTTGTACCAACCGGATAAGTGGGAATTACCACAATCATTAAGGGTTTTATCAATTTATAATGACGCGTTTGGTGAAGCTTTTGAGGAGTCCGGTTACCCTGCAGAAAACTGGTCTTGTGCGGTCTTTCCTGATTCACTTCTTGAGTTATCGCTTAACGTTGAAAAATTGGAAGGAATTACATTTCCAAAGTCGTTGCGTGGTTTGGAGTTAACTTTTGACTCAGGCGAATTGTTGAAGTCTTTGAACTTTCTTGAATTGGAAAACTTAGTTCAACTTAAACTTACTTGGAAAGATTCACCTGAACTTATAGTCCAATTTCCATCAAGTTTGAAGACTTTGGATTTATCTAAAAGTTGGGTGGAAGAAAAAATTATCATTGAAGCCCCAAATCTAAAACGAGTAGAGTTGCCAAAAAATCGTTTCGAGACGCTAGATACTACCAATTTTCAAATACCAGATTCAGTGGAACATCTTTCAATTGATGTTTCAGGTAAAGGTCTCAGCAGAATTGAACCAAATATCTTCCCAAAGCAATTAAGAGTATTAAAGGTAGATGCGTCCTTAACATCTGATTTATTGAATCAACTTCAATTAGGCAGTTTTCTGAAGTTAGAAAGATTAGATTTAAGGTGGAACAAAATCACTTGTTTGTCAAACAATTTTCCACCATCCTTAAAATCGATCTGCCTTGATAATAATCCTATTTCCAAGTTTTCTTCAGCTACCGTTTTCTCAGAACTTCCAAACTTACGTGAAATAAGCATGGCATCAACCAAAATCAAAGAGTATTTCCAACCGGATGAAAGCATCCTAGAATTCCCATCATCTTTGGTTGCATTGAATCTTGCTGACAATGAATTATCAACCGGTGTTGCGTCCAAGCTACGTTTGCTGGGCTGTACGCAATTACAGGAGTTGTGCTTAGTTGGAAATCCAGAAATGGCTGATGTCCAAACTATTGTAGATGTGATCAAATCATCATGTCCAGATATGGTTGAGCTTGCATTGGACACGTCACATGTTACGGAGGAAGGGGATAATTTCTTATTGGGTATGAAAGCCAAGAAGATATTTCCTGGACACGCCCGTTATATGAATGTATAGCATTCTGAATATCCTTTTTGGAAAGTGTTTTGTAAGTATTTGTTTAGTCTTTTTATCAATTTTTTTTTTGCAGCCATTACGATATGAATTTATATTTTTAAAAATCACTTTTTATGCAAATATGTATTGCATTTGTAGCTTATTGTGAGAATAGATAAATACCACCCTCCATGCTATCCAAACCCCTCTATTTCCCTATCTTGACTTTTGAGTAAAAGTTCTTCTTGTTGCAAATGTTGGGGGTCATTGTGGTGTACAAGAACTCCTAGGAAAAAGAACATTCTCGGTGATAGTGTTTCATTCTAATTTCTGCAAATCTAAAAGAATATGGTAGTGGCAAAGTACATAAAAAATACAGGAAAGTGCAAAACTTGCAGCCATATAATAAGCACTAGCCACAAAATGTCGTCCTCCCCCTCCCTCTTCTATTAGTTGCGGATTTATGCATAGTTTGCATCAGCAATGCAAGGTTGTCCTGATAAGACAGGGGTTTCTTGATATATAACTTGAGTAATGATAATAAGACTGTAATTTTACATGCAAATTTTACAAAGATATGTATTGTTCTATACAAAGGCAACTAAAGTGGGATAACCAGTTAGGAGCTACCCGTACCTACACACTACACTAATATCTACTTCCAACTTCACGCTCTTCATCTACAATCTCATTCTTTTTCTCAATAAAGATTTCTTCTTGTTTGGTAGTATCTAGATGATTAGTAACAATACTTCTTCTGGTAACAATATTAACAACATGAACTTGAGAATGGTCAGGTACAAGTTTAGATGAATTTCTTAATTTGTACCAAGGTAAAGTGAACACTTCTTCAATAGATTCCAAACTTCTACCATGTAATTCAGGTAAGAAATAGGCGAAAATGAGACCAAGAATCATGACACCAACAAAGAAATAAAAGGCACCATATGGTTGTAATGCAATCATAAGTTTAGGAAGTGCTTTAGAATTACCATATTGATTAGCAAAATGTAAAACCATAACTAAGGATTGAGCGAATGAACGAATATCCAATGGGAAAATTTCAGATCCAATCAAGTATTGAATGGAATTAAAACCAATAGTCCAACCGGCACCAGATAAGATAATAGCAGCAAGGGCACCTTTGGAAGCACTAGCTTGGGAAGCAGTTAATACACCTTCATCGTCGGCAGCTTGTGGGACAATAGTTAAAAAGATTGCATAGTATAAAATACAGGTCAATTGTAATGAAAGACCAGTATATAAAGCTTTTCTTCTACCAAGAACATCAATGATGAAGAATGCACCAGTGTAAGCAGAGACAAGCTTGACTGTACCCAAGACACATGACATTTGTAATTTGGCAACGGGACCCTTGATACCAGCAAGAGCAAATAATTCATTGGAATAGATCGTAACGGCATTAGCACCACTCCATTGACCAAGAATTTGGGCAGCACCAGCAATGCAGAAGAAACGGTAGGCAATACTCTTGACAGTGACAAGTCTCTTTAAGTTATTAAAAATTGAAGCATTCTCAGTGGCAGCCTTTTCAGTCAATACTTGTTCATTAATATCACTTAATTCGGCAATAGTATATGCATGGTCTTGTGGTAAGTTTCTTAATTTGGATAAGTTTTCCACTGCTTTTTCAGGTTTATTCACCTTCAATAACCATCTTGGTGATTCAAGACAGAAAAAGAATGACATGGTAAAGATTAAACTTGCAAGAATAAGCTTTGGAGCATAGGTATATCTCCATTGGTTATCGTTAATGGATTCACCAACAGTAGCTGGAACATTAAGAACACATCCATAGTTTGTCAAGTAACCCAATAAGATACCAATATAAACAGCACCAGCAAAGATACAACTAGCTAAACCACGAATAGGACTTGGAGCAACTTCGGCAAGGTAAACAGGTCCAATGGAAGTAGTATGACCAATGGCAAGACCTTCAATGAGTCTACCAGCGTATAATTGACCTACATGGCTAGATGAAATTTGAATAGCGGCACCAATAACCCATAAAATACAAATTAATTGAAGGGCACGAACTCTACCAAAGTAATCAACAGTCTTAGCCGCTAACATTGCACCACCAATAGCACCTAATTGAACCATAGAGGTAATATTGGATTTGAGATTAGCTAAATAATCTGCTGATTTTGTTTCATCACTTAAACCAAATCTTGCTTTGAATGATGGAAGAGTAATATTTCCTGAAATATTACCTTCATCATAACCTCTAGCAGCACCTAAAATACCAAATACAAAAATGGATAAATATAAAGTCAAGTTGAATACTTGAGGTGGATGTTCAGATGTATCAACAGTCCATCTGAATTTCTTCTTCTTTGGTTCTGATTGGATATCAGCTGTATGTTGCTTAGTATATTTGTCTTCCACTGAAGTTCTTTGACTATTGGCCATTATAAATTGTCTTTTGTAGTCCTATCTATTGAAAGTCCGAAGAGATAAGAATTTCTTGAAGGGATATTCATGTCAATATTTATAGTTGATAAGAAACCTAACCACCACCACCACTGTCCCCACAATTTGAAATTAAACTTTGTTAATTGGAGGAGGAATTGGGTTCCCCATGGGAGATACGAGTGGAGATACAAAATCATACCAGGTTTTAGACTTGCAGCATTTTCATCAAATTGAATTTATTATTTTTTGGGGATTATAAGGTTACAAATTTCACGGCAAAATAATAAAAATATTTTTTAAGGTTTGCGTTTTTGCGCTTAAAACTTTTTCCGCCGAGTTGAGTGGCTTTTCATTTTTTTATTTTTTTAGAGGAAGAAATGCATATTAATTGTTCGGTTGCACATTAACGAATTACGTATGCGCAACTCAAGCCCAACCGGAGTGGGCTATTTGATTTAAAGCGGGGGCTTTCAGAAAGGGCTTCATGCGGGGCTGAAAAACTATCTATCTGAGTGAATCCTTTTTGGGGAAAAGTGTCAAACTTGAAATAAACTTTAAAAAGAAAATGTGGTTTTAAAATTGGGGGGATTTTAAACGATGAAGAATTTTTAGGTTTACTGGGAAAAAATAAATTCAAGTATCGCTACATAATTACACGTAGTGTAAGAATTTTGTTCTGATTACTGAAAAAATATGTCAAGCTTGTTAAACTTCCCGCCTCGACTCTCTTGGCATAGATCTTCTGGAACCAACCTACCTACTTTTAATTCCAAAATAGATTTGTACACCTTCTTATTAACTCCCCCATAACTTGATTTCTATCCACCTATTCAAAAAGCGAGTTCTTGTTAATCGGTCCCGGTTGCTTTTTTTTTTATTTTCAAAATGGGAGGCACTATTGCCGCGCATTACTAATGAAATCCCCCACTTTGCTTTGTGCCTCCACGAGAATTCAGATTTAAAATCGAGGCTTTTCCTTTTTTTAAAAATATTATTGCAACCTTTGAATCTCATAACCCATTTTTAGAGTTTAAAATTCAAATGATTTCGGTTCCGAAAGTTCTTTATTGTCCAATTAGAAATTTACCCGTGCAAAAGAAAACCAATTCGAGATCTTCCCCTCGTTTATGTTCAGGATTTGCAACCGGTTTTCACCTTAATTATTTTTTAGATACATGGTATTACCCAAAATTTTTCCGAGAATGCAATGACATAGCAAGTTTATTTCGGATCCGAAATCATTATCTATTATTAAGTATTGAGGAAATGTAATTGGATATCATCGCCACGGTATTGATTAAATACCCCATTCCAATATTGTTGGGAGATAACAAAAACATACCACTTTTGAGCGCATTCATTGATGGAAGATCTCCGGGGGGTTAGGCAGAGGAGAAGAATGGTTTTATCTCAAACAAACGACTTCTCCTCTTCATATCTGGAACCACGTTTGGTTCAATACCTTTAAGATTGCTCTAGATAAACTTCTTGGCACCTCTTATTGAAAAGAATTGGTTTTGGGAGGGGCGTTTATGATTAACTACAGTATATGATAACTCCTAACAAGATAAATCATTTTAATGATTATAATTCGTGCTGTAGGAATGGAATTTCAGAATCCCCGACTCCAAAAATTCCACAAAAATCAATAAATCAAGACGAGTAAGCAAAACCTCACCTAGTAAGTGTAATATATTTGAACATGCAATACCCTCTCCCTCAACTACATTATCTACAAAAGCTATCATATCCCAAAATTACCCAAAATCTATTGAATCCTATATAAAAAAAAACACCAATAATAGAACTAAAATATATAAAATTAAATAAAAAAACAAACAAATGACTCTATCATCGACTTATTCTTTTATGGTAGATATCCTCGACTCATCATCATCATCATCATCGTCCGACATCCTATGTTTCTCCAGCGCCAGAGATCTCCGTTTTCGATGCATCCGTTGTTCCAGCAGCAGTTGCTGTCCTCCTCCTCGTTGATTATCATACCCTTGTTGCTTCCCCATCGCTTCATCCAAAGTCCGAACCACCAACTGTTTTGGTCGACATACTTCAAACCCCTTCTCTCTATGATTCTCTTCATCAATCCTCAACATCCTAAACACCTTCGTCTTTAATCTCAACACCCCAGACACCAATCTCGGTTGTTGTGAATCGCCATTGCCATTAGTATTGTTGGAGAATTCCAATTTCCGGGAATCCCAAAGTGCTTTAATCTCCGGATCCATCAATTCATCCATGAAATATTTCTCAAAGATTCGATCACCTTCACGAACTTTATAATCGGTATGTTTTTTCCGGAGGTTGGAGATCTTTTGTTGTTCATGAAATGAAGACACTTCAAGTTCTTCAACTGGTGACAAGGTGGATTCTCTGACTGGGGGTTGTTGGACTAGTTGTTGTGGTGGTGGGGGGAGTTGTTGGAGTATGATTGGGGATGGGGTACTCATACTTGAAGCGGATGTGGATGTGGTGTGAGCGGTTTCCAATCTGGCGAGAACTTGTTCACTCTTTTTTCTATAATAAAAATCCTCCTCTTCTTCTTCTTCGTCATCATCATCTTGTTCTTCATTATGAATGAATTTACTATCCCGATTAATGGGTCTTGGTTCCGGTAAAATAATCGGTCTATATTCAAAATCCCGTTGAAAATCATCCACATTACCATCCCCATCCTCTCCCAACGCCTTCTTCTCATCTTCATCCTCTCTTGCCTCCTGTCGAGTTCTATAAATACTCATCAAAGTCCGCGTAAACCAATACAACAATTGTACCAAAAAGATAATCGCCACTATTGCATGTATCAACAACTGCACATAGGCAACATATGTCCTCACCGCCTCACTAATACCTAACCCTTTTATAAATGGAATACACAACATCGTACTCAAAAATCTCGCCATGGGAAACATCCATTTTGAACTCCATAAAGTAATCCCAATAAAATGGGGTCTTACCACCAATAATGCTAATAAATCAACAATGGTAATTATGATTAATAATGTAACTTGAACAAGTCCCGTGTTTTGGACAAGACCAATGATTAACAGTTTTATGAATAGGGTTAGGATATCATAAATCACAAATGCCACTCGTTGGGGTTTATATTCATTATAATAAAATGCCCAGAGTAGGATAGTTTTCAAGGAGGTGTATAATTTCGATGGGGCCCCCTTTAGGAGAACAAGGTAGTTGAAGATGAAGAATAGGATTAATCCTATCCAGAGGGCGAATAATAATGATCCGAATGTGATGGTGATTGAGGGGATGCTGAGATATCCCGGGTGAATTATTGTTGAATTTAGGTTGGAGATGGTTTGATTGACCAAGACTCCTTCATCGACATTCATTCCACCAGCGGCAGCGGCGGCAGCGGCGGGGGTTTGTCCGGATATATTTTCTAATACTGGGAGGAATAATTGATCATAGGAGGTTGTGAATGAAAATGCATCATTGGCTAATGTTGATAAATTAGGAAAATATTTCTTTTTACCATTAACATCACCAGCTAATAAGAACATGAATGAAGTTAATACCAAAAATGGCATTCCAAAAATTAATAAATATAAATGGAAAACTTGTCCAAGGATAAAATATCCATTATTTCTGGAAATTAAACTAAATTCCAGGGTTTCATCATTCATTAAACTTTCCTTTTTGGCATTATATCGTTTAATCAATCTATCAATACATAATTTAAAAAAGATAAATAATTGTTCAAATCCAATAACAATCATGATAATTATAATCAAACAAATTATGAAATTTGGCCAACTATCAACTATTGATTCATCAGTACTATAAACTGTCAAACTTTTAAGTCCACCTGAATTTATTGTCACATAAATATTATCTCTTGAACTAGTTGATTGAGGGATATTACGAGATAAAACAGAATAACCCATTAATGCACACCATCTAATTTGTCCAATTATCGGTTGATAAAACCCGGGATATTCTATATCTAATCCACCAAGAAATAATGCAAATTGTAAATACATGATAATTCCAGGTACGGTTGCATCTACTTGTTTTAATAACTCTGCATTACAAATGGTTGAAGCATGGAATAAAAATGGATTGGAAGATTCTTGATAACAAGAATAAGAAATTGTGAATAAATTAACAATTGCAGTTACAATTATTAAAATTAAAACCCCATAATTAATAATATCTGATATTACTTCTGGTTGTACTGGGGTTATATATGTTTTACTACATCCTATAACATTTGAAATGACATCATTTGATACTACTGAAAATCGTACTTGATAAGAACCTAAATGATGAATATGATCGGAAATATCTGCTTCATAATATAAAATAATTGAATCATTATAATATAAAGGACATTGAATTAATTGACTTGTGGTATTAAATACGTGTGCTAATGTTTCTCGATCAACATATTGCCAACTTCTTTTTGCAACAGTAGAACTATTAAATGGAGCAGAAACAACTGTCGGCACAGCAGTATTAGTAGCAGCAGCAGATGAACCACTGTCGGGAGTATTAGGAAGTTGTACTTGAGTATTATTAAATCTTGGACCTTCTCTAAAGGAAGTTGTATTCTTAACAGCTAACATGTCACAGAATCGTTTATTTTCTGAGATGAATAATTTACCCATGAAATCTATTTCGATATGGAGGGTTGTATATTTATTACTTAATGGATTAACATCATTTATAAGTATTTGTGATGAGTTTATATTGGTGTTGTTATAACTTACAACTTGAGTATTTATAAAGAATTTCAATTTCAGATTTGGTTCATCTAAAGATGCATCTATTAAGAAAGGTTGTAATAGAAAGTCATCTTCATTAATATTACAACTTTGAGATTGAACAAATGTTGAATGTGTTGGTCGTAGTATAAATAATAATATCAATAATATATAAACCTCTAGTATATTCTTCATGATTGTATGTATATATAAATGTGTGTGTAGTAGGGGGAGTGTATAGTTAAATAAATTTGAATTAAAGTGATGGTTGAGGAAAGTCCCAATAAAGTATAAACTAGATGTTATTTGTAGTTGTTGTTTGTTGTGTTTGTTGTAAAAAAAAAAAAAATTTAAAATAGAAGGTAGTGGTGATGTAATAATGAAAAGAAAGTGACCAAAGTGATGTAATATATATATGAATACTGTATGAATGGATACTCGATGACTTATATCCTTTTTTTATTTGAATGACTCTCTTATTAAAGAAGAAGCCACTCTCCCTTATTTTAAATAAAACAATAATAAAGGTGTATTGTATAATGTAAGTAATTTAAGTAAGAATATAGAATGTTAAATGGGAGTAAGTGTGTGTAAGTGAATGAATTTTTTAAATTTTTTAAGGAGACAAATAATAATTAATTAAATTGTTAATACAATACAATATAAATTAAATATTTTTTTATAATTACTCTATTAACATTTATGATAACAAAAATGAGACTTACTATTAATAGTAGTAATTATATGTATATCAGATTAAAATAGATATACAAATAATATTGTAACAATTAAATCATCAGATATCTCATACTCTCTCTATTTACCATATAAGATAAATACAGTTATTGGATGTTGTTGTATATTTATGATTTAATTAATCTTGCATATATTACATAAAATATTTTTTATTTACTCACACTTTTTTCTTCTTGTTTTGTTTGTTTATCATATGATAAAAATTAAAAAAAACAAATTTTATAATGATAAAGAACTACTACAAAAGGATACTGTCAGAGCGTAAATTGATGGAATGAAACAAGAAGAGACTAACAACAGGAAAAAGGCATCTCCTATCGAGTTTAAGTTATTTGAATTATTCCTTAAAAATTGCAGAAATTTTTTTGGAAATATTAGCTGCAAATTCGGAAAAAGTTTTTAAAAACAAATTTCATTTGGATTTATTCATAATATTTCATTCCTTGGAGGTAGCACCTACTCTTCCAATACTTTACTGACCAATGGACACATAAATTCATTTGCTAGTATACAAGGATGAGAGTGGTGTATGTACACAATTGAAAAATCGAAAAGGGATAGATCAGTCATATGGTAGCACACATCGGAGTAAAAAAAGCAATTTTCGTAAAACAAAGCGGTTTTAGCTCAGTTGGGAGAGCGTCAGACTGAAGAGATTCAGTCAACAGTTTAATCTGAAGGTCCTGTGTTCGATCCACAGAAATCGCATACTTTTTTATGTTTTTCAACTTATTGTTATTATTAATAGGTAGAAGAAAGAGAGTAATAAGTTAAAATAAATATAAAAATAGAATAAATAAATAACGTGATACAGTAATACATTAGATTGCTTTTTTTTTTTCTTAAAATCTTAAAAGTTTATTTTTTTTTATTTTTTATTTTTTTTTTAAAGAGGATCATGGAAAACAAGTTCCACTTTCCGATTTAATATTATACAATGGAATGGAATGGTTATGGTTATCTTTCATAGAGAAAGCAATTATAATCAAACATACCCTAACATTACGATTCGAAAGAGAATTGTATCTTTGTATTTATTCATCTGTAACAATTGGAATAACAAAGAAAACTAGTAGCAAGAGTTTTTTTATTGCAAAGCTAACGGAATAGAAGTCCGACGTCAGATATGATTCGTATCAAGAAACTTAAACTTTCGCTTACTTCTTTTGTTTTCTAATCTGCAAGTTTTGCATTCGCTAATTACCAAGTCAATAAGTGATATAGATTATCTCTGCGGTTAAATTCAATTGTAGAAGTTTTCAATACATGGGATCATTTCGCCAGTGGGACTACAACTATTAAAGAATTTCTTGCATAGCAGAAATCAGAAATCCTTTCATAATTGATCCTTTTAATATCATCAAGATTTAGCTTGCTTATCCTTGATCACTGATTCATTTACTTCTCAATTGATACCAATTGATAATACTATTGACAAACAACTGACAATTTATACCAATGGACTTTTCATCACGGGCTTTCTGAAGCATTGAAAAAAAAATTCTTTGTTTCTTTTGTTTTCGCCTAACAAAAAGAAAACGGCCATCTATTTTTTGGTAGGAGCCCATTGTTTTGTTGGTTGCAATATAAAAATGAGATGAAAAATTTTTCATTTTTTTTTTCAAACAACACGTTTTTTAACTTCTTCTTTCTTTCTTTCTTTCTTCTTCAAGTAAATTCAAATCAATTAATCATGTCTCAAGGTACTTTATATATTATGGAGATCTCTCCAAGATCCTTCATTCTTGTTGATATCGTCAAGCACTTTGGCTTAGATGTCACCATCAAGACTGAAAAGGATGAAGCTTTCACCAATGCTTTCCCATTAGGTAAATTACCAGCTTTCATTGGTACCAAAGGTTTCAAATTATACGAAACCTTAGCCATTGCTACTTATTTACTTTCATTAGTTCCAAAGGATAAGATTGGTGCTGTTTTAGGTAAGAATAATGAACAATATGCTTCTGTTATCAAATATTTATCATTATTCAACCAAGAATTCATCCCAGCTTTATTCCAAACTTTATTCATGATTAATGGTAGATATCCATACAACAAGAAACAATGTGATGAAAACTTTGGTAAAGTTGATGTTGTTGCTTCAATTTTAGAATCAAGATTAGCTGAATTCACTTTCTTAGTTGGTGAACGTGCTTCATTTGCTGATTTCTTTGCTGTTGCTTGTTTAGCTCCTGGTTTACAAACCATTTTAGCTAAACCATTTGCTCAAAAATATCCAAACATTACTAGATGGTTCACTACTGTTTCTAAGAATGCTTTCTTTGGTGATAGATTTGCTCAATTCGCCATTGCTGAAAAACCATTAGTCTACACTCCTCCAAAGAAGGAAAAGAAACCAGCTCAAGAACAACAACCAAAGAAGGAAAAGAAGGAAGCTAAACCAGCTGCCCCAGCCGCTTCTTCTGAAGAACCAGCTGAAGCTCCAAAGCCAAAACATCCATTAGAACTCTTGGGTAGACCAAAGGCCGCCTTAGACGAATGGAAGAGAGTTTACTCTAATGAAGAAACCAGAGAAACCGCTATTCCATGGTTTTGGAAGAATCAATACGATCCAGAAGAATGGTCTCTTTGGAAGGTTGATTATAAATATAATGATGAATTAACCTTAACCTTCATGTCCAACAATTTAGTTGGTGGGTTTTTCAATAGATTATCCGCTTCTACTAAATATATGTTTGGTTGTATGGTTGTTTATGGTGAAAACAACAATAATGGTATTACTGGTGCTTTCTTGGTTAGAGGTCAAGATTATAAACCAGCTTTTGATGTTGCTCCAGATTGGGAATCTTATGAATTTACTAAATTGGATGCTAATGATGAAGAATCTAAGAAGTTTATTGATAATATGTTTGCTTGGGATCAACCAGTTATTGTTAATGGTGAATCTAAGGAAATTGCCGATGGTAAGGTTTTCAAATAAACTATTTAGATTAATTGTTATATATAGATAGATTTAGACTTTTTAGAATAATTTATATTGTATCCTTACATTATAGCGTTGTAGAAACATCCTTCTTGTCTTTTTCTCCATCTGCTATTGGGTTGTCATTTCTGCTTTACAGTTTCAGATTAAGGCTTCCTTTATAGTCGTAATGATGGAAGGTTGTAGAACGAAGGGTTAGTGAAGGGAAAAGTTGTCATTAAGGAAATTCAAGAATGAGCATATGCCATAATAATTTCTACAGATGGTATAAAGTAAATGAAATTAATCGGTTTAAGAATCTTGTATCGACACAGAGAACGAGCCTTTGTTATAATTCTGTTTGTCAAGGAGCAAATTTGATTGGCTGCAAAAACAACTTGGTCAGGCTTTCACGATTTTTCCTATATTTGTAGAATTCTACATTACGTGTGGATAGTTTCAGATTGAACGAGTATGATAGAGAGTGATTGTTAGAATGAACTCTAAAGTTGATCATATGAAACCTTCTCACATCTATAGAATTAATATCTGGCTTACCAGATCTATTTCCGATTCTTTTGTTGTGCCGCACATTGAAAATCATCTTCAATTAAACTCAATTCTGAATTTGCCCCATATTGGCCCATGAAAAGCTACAAAATAGCGGGAATCCAAAAGTTCAACCCGATCATTTCATTCATCTGGAGAAGGACATACGCCATCGCGAAAGATCTATATTCCATAATCCACCCTACCTACCGTTGCCAAGAATGCTCACATAAACTCTACAAAATGTCAAATCTCCAAATAAAAAGTGCTAATATATTAAAAATACCCTATCTCATGAATATATATATATACAGAAAACACCCACCCAGTCGAGAGCCCCACGAGATCAAAGCTCCCCAAAACCATCAATCAACTCCTACACCCACTAATCATGAACCTTCCCTCTCAACTTAGGATATAATCTCTCGGAATCATTAGAACTTCCACTTCCTCCTTTATTCCCCTTCTTCTGTACCGCCATACATTGTTTTAATTCAGTAGCGAATCGTTCACAAATACTTGCACTTTCACCATTTGATGCCCAACAATTCAATAATGATGACATGACAATCATGCATTCATTATTAGCTCCACCGGTTGATGCATTTAGGGTCTTTTTGGGTCTGAATCTGGGTAATGGTGGAAGTCCCCTTGGTGGTGGTCCTACTTTCTTATAAGCCATGTCTAATTAAGGGGTGGTGGTGGTTATAGGTATTGGTGTTTATCTGGTTTTGGTTGTAAAATTTTTTTTTGTTAATTAAAAAGTTAGAGTCGTGTAATTACGTTCAAAAAAAATGTACAGCATAAAATATTGCAATGGACGTGTATTACTCAAAGATACTTACTAAGGACATAATCAAACTGTTTAAAATCTATCAACATCAGTGACTTTCTTGGTCTTGTTATTGTTCTTCTCCTGTTGGGATGAAGTCTGTTTTTGTTATATTTCCGAGGATCTAACCAATAAATACGTTTAAAATTCCGATTGGAATTATTATTAAGATATGGAGAATAAATAATGGCATCATGACCTTTGAATTCTTTGTTATTAGTTTCAAAAAGTGGCATTATCTTTTCATCTATACTTGCTTCAATTTTCTTTGTTAACCGATATAAGAATCGTTGTTCCCATTTACTATCATTTCTATATTTATACTTTAATAATGTTTCAACTTCCTCCTCTAAATTAATGAAAAATATCTTAAAGAAATGTTGTTTTAATCGATGCCGTAATCCAATTGTATTCATAAATCGAGAATAAATTGGCAATAACGGGAATGATGCATAAGTAGTCAACATAGCGGTAGATGGTTGTGCAGGAGAATCAAACAAGACATATGGACTTAATTTAACTGGTAAACTATTGGTTGAATACATTCCTAAATGATAATAAGACCGTTTTAAACCATTCAAATCATTCAAAACCAATTGTTTCATCTCTTGAATTTCTTGGGCAATTTCTTCAACCACCGGGATATCAATCGCCGAAAAATCATAATTATTAATTGAATCAATCTTGATGGCAATTCGATTCCCCGATATAAATTCTTGTATAAATTCTTCCGGGGTGGGAATAATTGCGGAGGTTTGTTCCATTTGATCTTGAGTCATTAACATATTCATATCACGAGGATCTAGATTCCGAACTCGTTTATCAGGATCTTTGATATCTAAATCATATTTCTTTAATATCATTGTCGTGGTTCCATCGGTGGGTAAATCTTGAATGAATTCCCGAGGGAATGGAGGTGATGATGCATTATTATCATTATTATTGTTTGGTCGGTTTATTAATGGCATTCCAATTAAACTTTTATCAAATCCATGAATATTATATGGAAGATTAGTTAAATTACCAGAAGATAAAAATGCATATTTATGTAAACTAACTTCTGGAACTTCACGTCTTCTTAACAATTTAAATTTCTGATCAATTCCATTCACAGCTTGAATAAAGAAATTTAAATCATCATCATAATTTTTAAGATATCGTTTATAATATTTCAATTGAACTTTTTTATCACAATCTAATTGATTTAATTTTGAATAAATATCTTCCACTTTTGCCATATCTTCCGGTTTAAAAATATTTAACGTATCAGGAATAGATCTTAATAATGCTTGTCGATCAAGATAATGTTCCGATGGGAAACTTCCAAATGCTTTTCCATCATCAAATACATTTTGTAATTTTATATCTTCAAATGACATTCGAGATACTTTATCATAAGCTTCATTCAATTGGGCAAATTCCTCTTGTTCATGCCATAAACCAAGAGGAAATGAAGGACGTCTTTTTTGTTTCCGATTATTGTTTGAACGTGCTGGCGGTGCCAGGGTATGCGATTTCGATGTTGAATGTTCGGAAATGGCCCTTGACAGGGATGTACCGGAATCAGGAGGTTGTGTTGCTAAATTGGGTTCAGGGGTAAGAGATGCTTTCCGTTCAACTATACTAGCAGATCCAGTTGTTGTACCAGTTTCTCCAAGAAATTGACCCCCTTCGGGTGGTTTTTGTTGTAATTCTTTAGCAAGTTCTTCTTCTTGTTGTTGTCGCAGTTTATCCCCCGCTTTATTTTGTTTTTGTTGATCTTGATCGGATTCCTTAGATTGTTGTTTAGGCTTTAAAGCACCTTTTTGTAAGTTTAATCCTATTGATTTTAATAATTGTTTTGATTTCTCATCCTTATATAAATTCAGGGTTGTACTAAATAAACGTGGAGTAGAAAAATGATATTTAGATAATAAATATTGTTGAGTATAACAACGTGATCTTAATGATGATGTTGTTGTATTAGGGTGTGTTAGTAGTTGTCTCATCTATGAATATGTAATACTATATATATATAATTATATATAGTATCGTATGCTTATATATGTCTGTTATAAAGATTAGAGTTAAGAAAAAGAATTTAAATTTTGTTCTATGGATTTTAATTGATCATTTAATTTTTATTTTTATTTCGCCCAACTCCACACTTCCACCACACACACTCTATAACAATATAATCAAATTTAATTAATTATAATCTCGTAAATTTAATAATTATTGTATACAATCTATTACTATCTCTAAAAGATAAAAGAGATATACCTTACTCTAATTAACATTAGTCTATTTCATATATGTAACATATATTCCGATAATCGGAAGGCAAAGGAAATCGTCAATTTACACTACTTACTAATTCGCACGTGATTTAAACTGAACCACAAAAGATAAGAGCATATGAAATTTGATTGATACATGTAATTAATTAAATATAAAGAGAAATTCAAAGCAATGAATTATAACTAAGAAAAGCTAGAACAATATATGAGCATCAGCTGTTGTCTCTGTAAAAATACTCATACTATTACTACTACTATTCTTTCCCATAAGAAAACTGGTTGGATTAAAATGTAAATTTTCATGGCATTGAGGTTATATGCAGGGGGAGTCAAGAATAATTCATCAGGGCTACTTACTACAGATTATTAGATTATGAGCCAGCAATTATCTATCCCAAGAAACAGATAAGAGAGATATACATTGACTGACTCTATTCACCAGTAGATCATCTATATACTCAATACCAATATTAAACTAATTGCGGAGTTAGACATTCTTTAGTATTTCCTATAACTTTATCTTCTTTTACTTTTACTTTTACTCCAATAATTTTTTTTATTGGGCTAAAAAATTTTCCTTAACTTTAATTCACCAAATTTGCCAAATTCCCAAACAAACCAAAAAAAAACGTCAATCTCTCTTTTCTTTTCACCCAATCACTCCACACCAACTATTCCCTATCGCTCAAAACCAATACATACTATATATGAACGGTACGGAGTACATCAAACCTGGCGAAAAGCCAAAGACAACCCCATCTCATCTCGTATTAGGAGGGTTGTCAATCCTGCCTTCTACAATTCCATCTGGTCCTGCTGCTGCTAAAAACCAAAATGGAAACAATGTTGATAAATCAAATGCCAATGGCAATTCAAATACCAATCCATCTCCTACTAAACCTGTTGCAGTCAACACTACAACTGCAACAGCAACTACTACTACTAAGGCTCCTGCAAATTCAACTTCTGCCTCTGTTTCCCCTGCAACCCCAAGTTTACCAACGGGTCCAGCAGCACTCTCTTCTTCTTCTTCTTCGTCTGAAAATGCAGCCAAGCCTTCCCCAGAGTCCCCAGCAAAAGCTAACGTATCCCAAAATACCAGTACCAATACTGCTACTTCCAACAACAACAACAGCAGTAACAATATAAACGGTGGTGATACTCAAAGAACAAATTCTTTAAACATATCACAATTATATCCAATCTGGAAAAATGATATTAATCTGACTTTAGTCCCAGCTTATGCTCTGGTTGCTGTCCCCAAATCACTTGATTCTAATGACTGGTCCAATTATATCCAAGTTGGTCTTAAACATTTCCGTGGTTGTGAAGCTTTCTTTAGAGACCCGGAAAATTTCCAAATGAGAGAACGTTGTGTTCTTAACCTTTATATTACTAATGATTCTGGCCATATCGAGGATTATCGTGAATTACTTTGGTTATTAGATGACATGTTTATTACCCATTTGGATACTGTTAGTTCTCAGTTTATTAACCATGTTGAATCACAATTGGGTAAAACTGGTGAACGAATTAGAATGAAACAAGTTTTGGAATTCCTTGATCAAGGTGCTACATTAGCTGCTGAAGCTACTATTGAAACAAAATTAATTTCATTTTGGCTGAATTTTGAAACGAAATTAAATTCCCCCGTGGCAGTATTAGATTATTTTGCTGATTGTGAACATTCTAAAAAAGATGATGTCGATCTTTTTTTGGATAATATTCTTCCATTCCCCATGAAAATTGTCTTTAGAAGTTTTAAAGGAAGATCTCACTTGCCTAGTCAAAAAGCCTTTTGTAGAGTCCTTGCTCGTGAATATAACAAATATAAGGATAAACCAAAAGAATATCGTCCAATTACTTTCCGATTATTAAGAAAACAAATCAAAATCAATCCTGATCCAATCATGCCCGCTATGTCATTCTCATCCAATTCATACAGTTCTACCGGAACCGTCCCACCAAATACATATGTTCGTCCAGCACTTGCTGCATTACCAGCACCACATGCCCCATCTGGCCCCACCTCCACCTCCACCTATTCTAATTCCCATCAGAAATCGTCTGTTTCTTCTTCGTTTAGTTCCAATCCAGTTTCAAACATTAGACAAACCGACAGTTATCGTACCACCACCACCACACCAACCAGACCCGCACATCATAGCCAACAACAACAACAACCACCAATGTCGGGTCCAGTGGGGTTTACGACTCCTGCAAACAGATATTCTGAAGGCGAAATCATCAGTAGACCAAGTGCTCCTGCTAGACGTATTAGTGTCGATTCCAGGGCACCACCAATGCGTGATGTAAATGATAATTTCGACAGTAGAGCTGGTGGAGGGAGAACAATTGGTGGAAGACAAGATGTTGTGGCTGCTACTACTACTACCACTTCTCATACAACAACCACGGGGAAAGAATATGATAGTTATAAACCAGGACATCAACAACATTCTGATATTGGTGGTGGTGGTTATAATAATAATGCTAATTCTAGACCAAGTGATCCTAGATCAAGAATGGGTGAATCTGGTCCAAGGTCTGACCAATCCCAACAACACCAACACCAACAACAGCCTAGACGTGATAGTGCTGCTAGTGGTGGTGGGTATAGACATGAAGATAGGACTTATGACTCGAGATTGAATGAGAATAGAAATGAAAAGTCATATCATGAGAGTAGATTAGGCGATAATAGATCCTCTCATGGTGGTCATAAATCGAATGATAATAGAATCCATGAGGTCAACAGATCCAACGATAATAGATCAAATGATAACAGAACCAATGATGGTAGATCGCACGGCGGTAATAAATCGAATGATAGCAGAGTCCATGAAGTTACCAGATCCAATGACAATAGATCACATGTCAACCAATCAACTGATAACAGATCTCATGACGCGAACAGATCCAATATCAACAAAAGAGACTTCCAACAACAACCACCATCCAACGAACGTAAACAACAAAGATCAGAAGACAGAATCATCGACGAAAGACCACCAAAACGTCAAAACATCGACACTTCCTCAACCGCAACACCAAGAAGAAATTCCACCTTCAACAACACCCCACAAAAACCAAATAACAACAATAATGACAATAGAAACTCAACGTTTGTCATCCCCAACGGAACCAAAAACCCCAATAATACACCCATCACAGGCACCCTAGCTGATCGTATTGCCAGAGTATCCAAAGACAAAATCGATCCCCCAATTACCAACACTAGTACAACCCCAAATAGTGGACAACCCGATCCGTTTAAGTCCGCTCAAGACTTTATCAAATTCCAATTAACAGGAGCAGGCGCAGGCAAGAAGTCCAACAACAACAACAATAACAATGATTCACGTGCTGGTGAGAGTGGAGGAGGAGGACGCCAAGCGGGTGGAAAACGCGATAACAGTGGTGGTTCTAATCGAGGCAGTGGTGGTGGCCGTGATGGTGGGGGGAATAGAAGTGGATCCTCACGTGGAGGTGGTGGAGGTGGTGGTGGTCGTGATAGTAGAAATGGCGGTTCTGGTGGCGGTGGTGGAAGAAATGGTGGCGGAGGAGGTGGAAGAGGTGGAGGAAGAAGTGGTAGTGGAGGAAGAAGTGGTGGAGGTGGAAGAAGTGGCGGAGGAGGAGATAGACGCCGTAGTGGGGGAAAAGGAGGCGATAATAGCCGTTCTGGAAGTAGAAGTGGAGGTGGTGGAGGTGGCGGAAATAGAGGTGGGATCGACCTACATGATCTAATCAAGAATGGTGGAAGATCCATTCCTCTGGCTCCTAGAGGTGGAGCATCAGCGCCTTCTGGTCCAAGAAATGATAGAAGTACCGATCGTTATTTACCAAATAATTGATAGGAAAAGCAATATTTTTTTGCTATAAATTTGTATATTAGATTTCAGTTTTGTAATTTACAAAACATTTTCAATAGCTATTAGTTTTTACAATCTTTAACAATATTGTTGACTCTTTGGGGTTACAATTTGTTTGTTTATATTAGAAAGAAACCAAATCATTTCCATATCTGCAAGTAACGTGTCTTCTTGGTGCATGTCCGGTAGCCTAGATACAGATTTGCTGCTGCCAGTTTTCTTATTTGTAAGAGAGAGTGCAAGATCATTTAACAGGCTTTCTCCGAATATTGGGGTGTCGGCCCCCATACTATTGCTACAAACTCCTAGCTATGTACAAAACTATCCTATCTTACTTTATTCTCTCCAAAATCGCAACCGATTCAACATGTTTGGTTTGAGGAAAGAAATCAAATCCAACAACATCTTTAACTCTATACTGAACATTTCCTGCCTTCTTTTGCAATTTTTCAAAAGTAGCCAAATCTCTTGCCTGGGTGAACACACTACAACTTATATACACGATCAAATCAGGATTAAACTTCAATAATCCTTCCAAATATGCTTCATTCGAACCCACTCTCGACGGATTCATAATCACCATACTATTCTTCCCTGTGACTTGTCCATTCTTGAATTGTCTAACTTCAAAAATCTGACTAGCATCCCCTTCTATGAAATCAAACTTGTTAAGATCAAGATTGTTTAAGACAACATTATCAATTGCATCTTCAATACTTTTCGCACTAGTCTCAATACCATAAACTTTTGCCCCCGGTGGAAGATCTCTCGAGAGTGCGATTCCCAAGAATCCGACTCCACAATACGTATCCACCAACTTCTCAATCTTGTTCGGACTAGACCTCATATGTCCACGAATATAATCCAAGACCCGTGGGAGAATCGAATGATTGATTTGGAAAAACGAACTAGAATCAAATTCATAAAACAACCCCTCAATTTGAACCCTTACCCTAGCCTTCATTTCATCAATGGCTTTGATTTTGAGTTTGGGTGTGATTGTGTCTCTAATCATTAAATTCTTGGTTGTTCTACCCTTTCGACTAAACCAACCTATATTATCTTGAATCTCCCATCGGACGATTTTATATAATTTATTAATTGTATCAGACGCAATTGGACATTGTTCAACATCAACATTTCTGGAACTATATGCTTGTTGGAACCCAATTGCCGCCGTCCCATCTCGATAAAACGCAGCATGGGGGTTTATTTTAGTTCTGTAGCCGTATTCTTTAGGTGACGCCACCACTTTTCCAAATTCATCCATATTGGACAAAGATTGGAATACTTCGGGATAGAAGAATTTATAAGCCCGTTGAATCATGTGTTGTTTGTGTATGAGTTGATCTTCATAACGTAACATTTGAAAAGCACATCCATTACATTTTCCAAAATATTCACATTTAATCAAACTATCATCACGTTGGGACAATTTAGATTCATGGATTTTGACCGGTTCTCCCTCGGCATAATGTTCATGATGCATCCGGATTTTTACATCTACTATATCCCCAACAACTGTTCTTGGAATCAATAAGATTGTGTATTTACCCTCGATATCGTTGTGGTTGGATATGATGCCCTCGGCATAACTTGATCGGGGTATTATCGCGATCCCTTCTCCCAGATAGGCAATATCCCTAACCTCAACATTTTCGATAATAATATCATCTTGATCTCTTCTCCCACGGGGTAAGAAAGCATGAATTAATTCAGGCGGGTTATTAGTCTGTTCAGGTTCGATAGATACTTTCTTAGCTTTGGAATAAGTATTTAAGAAATCTTTTATTTCAAGAAATGTGATTTTGGAAGGATGGGTAGGATCATCTACATCTCGTCTTCTTTTGGTTTTTTTGAAATGTTTGAGAAGGATTGGAAGACTTTCTAAATTATCTGCTGTTGCTCTAACAGGTCTTGTGAACAGGGGTTCATATGACCTATTGCTGAACTGTTGTTGAAACCTGCGACCTATAACCAGAGGGTGTATCTTGATGGTTCTTAACATGATGGGTGGTCTGATGACTAAATGGATCAAGATGATTCGATACCTCGAGAATTTTTTTATTTAGCGAAGACACGGTTGGTAGCGCTAAAATATTGATCTATGGGCTTGTTAGAATCTATGAAGCGACGTGGAATACTGATAATACAGCGAATTTAGGGACGTCAGTAGCTCTTGGAGTTGTTTAAATAATGAACAAATAAGTATTTTAGGTTTGATTTAGCCATTGTTAGGATAGTATCTTTGCTGTCTCTAACCGATTCTGCTTGGTTGCAAAATAATCGTTCAAAAATACACCAAAACAGAAAGATTTCCATACCTAGTAAACTATCAATTCTCATTAGGAACATTACTGTTGCATAATTACATCAAACATCAAAATGATGAATATTTGGATTGTTTCACATTGTTATCAGTTTTATTGCAGACTTTTTCATACATAAACATACTCCAGGCATTTTATTTTGTCAGATTCATTTTCATGACAAAGATAAAACCATAGATCCTCCAACAACTACCAAGCCCTTTCTATTTTCTTTAGCATATGCAATTAATTTAACTAAAATGGAAATTATAAAGCAACCCCCAGGATATTCTCGGAAGATCTCTTATCCCGCCGCCCTTGGCCAATCTCGTACGATCTCTATCTCTATCAATGTGAGACAATGGGATCTACAACAGTATTGTTTCGGAGCAATATCCTGCACATTAATGTACCCCAAGTTCTACCCTTCAACCATGAATTTCTTACTACGATGATGAAAACTTTCTACAAGACTCAATTCAATTAATACAAGAAAAGTCTATATGTGTGTATTGTCTAATAATAATAATTAAATGTAAAGAAATAACTAAATATATGTAAAAGAACCCCATATGCTATTGTAGATTATATATGCAAAATAAAAACCAAAAAAACCCTAAGAAACCAAACCCATTATAAAACCCATAATATTACATCAATTGTAGACATAAGTCATTTGTTGAGCAGCGTATGAACCAGCATTCAACAGCTTCAACAAACTCTTCAACTCCATTTCTTCCTTCAAAGCAGTAAACTCAATAATAGGGTCCACTTTATTGGAATATGCCATTTCACGAGGAGGTTCTGGACTAATTGATTGAATTGATTCAGAACGGAGATGACTATAATTATTTCTAGAAGATGGTGAGAAGGATGTAACTGAAGATGCACGGGAATGGGTAGATGAACAAGAGGGAGTAGATGGTGGATATGATGATGATGTATATTCCAAAACAGGTGGTGCTTGTCTTGGAGATTGTGAGCGGGGGATATGCAAATGTTGTTGATATTGTTGTTGGACTTGTTGTTGTTGGTTTTGTTGTTGTTGTCTGGAGATGAATTTTCTCATCTTTGATGTCTTGATGATGTCATATCTGATTGGTTCTAAGAAACTATCTAATGAATAGATCATTTCTTCGTTGCTGACTCTAGTGTCCCAATTCAAAAGGAAGACTAATTGACGTTCCATTAAATTGATATCTCTTGTGGAGAATAATCCATCAGTATATTCCGCCCAATGTTTATTCTTAGGAGAAGAATCATTATGGAATTTGGATGATAAAATAAGACAACTCAATAAGATTCTATGTCTAGTACATGGCAAACCAGAAGAATTCTTGGGTAATCTCATTTTCAATCTATTTAAATAAACCAAAGTTGCCATAAGAGTACCAGTATAAACATTAGTTTGTTTAACCAATTTAGTTAAGAATGTCATTAATGACGGTAATGGTTTGGTAATATTGTCTGGAGTAGTATAAGTTGAATTCTTAGTGTCTTTACATGGAATCACTTGTAATGTAGCAACAACCAATTTATGAATCATATCGTGAGTAACAGGACCAGAAAGGAAAGTCTGTAACGCTTTTAAATCAAGGGTAGAAGCCATTGTTGTGTGAATGTGTATGTGTATATGGAATTAGATCTGATAGGAAAGTATGAGATCTTTTTGAAAAGTATGAATATGATAATCCCTTTAGTACCAAAGAGAAAGAGAGATTTAATGAGATTTATATAAAATTTTTTGGGAGGTTGAAATAAAACTTTAAATTAAAACAAAATTATTTTTTATTGTTGACAAATTATTTTTTAATGTTTTGACTTAAATATATGCTGCGCGTATTTTTATGATTTACATATTAAAAAAATAAATTATTTTTTAATGAATCAATTTTTCTTTTTTTCCCAATTTGAAACATTTTTATTAACAAAACTCCCAAGTAACAATTAACAACTTTCATGCTCCTTGAACTTTAACAATATCCAGCCATTCTTTGAAACAAGTACTACACACTTTATAGTAATGCATGGCAAGCGAAAGAACAAAAATGACAAAAACGAATCTCTGATTAGCTGGTCACTAAATGACTACTGCCGGGGAATATTGCCTTGTCTTCAGCTTTCGAGAAAGATAAAACAATAATCAATAAATGAATAAAAGAAACTGATACGGAGTACCCAGTAGGAGCCTCTATAATTCAAATAGAGAAAGATATTACATCATAGAGTAAGATGAGGCAATGCTTCAACCATTATGTCAATGGTATCTATTTATTTATACCTTTTTCATATTTGAAACAATTTTATTGTAAATCCTGAACGTTTTATTTTTGTTGTACCGGGGGCCCCCCCCCCTTTCCCAAACATTTTTTTTACAAATCTGAAAATTTTTTTAAGGGGAATTTTGATATTGTGCCCAATCAAAAAAATAACACGTAGTACGCGTAAGAGAGATACCACATCATACTTCTCCACTGGGGACTTTCTCCATTGTTTTCCGAGGGGAAGGAAGAAAGAGAACAAACCGTTTCAGAATTGTCACGAGAACCCCCCAGAGACAACACCAGTAGACTACGAGTGACTACTAATGACTACTAAAACCTAATTTTATTGAATCATACGAGATTCGTAAAATCACGGAGCATATGCGAGATCGAGCAATTATAAAACAAATTCAATCCCCAAAAGTAAGTTCATGTCTTGTGCCACAAGAGAAGAAAACTTTCAAAATTGTGAATTTTAGATCATAGCAAGAAACCAGCTTTCAAACCAGCTTGTAAACCTTAATGTCTTGTTTAGATCTTCCAGCTGTACCAAGAAAATCTAATTGGACATACACAGGCAAGTAGAAAGCCCTGTTTGCAGAATTGGTCTAGAAGCAACTGACACGTATATGTATGATTTTTCGAAAGGAGATCTATCTAAGCCATCTCCCTCTTTTATAAGGAGAGAGAACAATCAAGAAAAATTCGTGTAGCTTGCAGATTAGACCCCGTAAAAATATTTTTTCTTCGTTTCTACGTGAACACAATATGCAACGCGATGCAAAATGCAATTCATTTAAAACACAGAATTAATTAAAAAATATTTACTTGACGTTCCTGATTGTAATTTCTATACCCAATACAGTAAAAACCAAAAATATTAATAACGGATTCCATCCTTATCCCGATGTCAATTTAACCTGAGCCTATAACATCAAAAACCTTTGTATTAGCGACTAAAGGGTTGAATAATAATAATATCCCAACAACAATCTTAATTACAAAAACGGTTTATTTTTCATTATTAATTACTGGATGAAGTAATTCTCCGATTTTGGGTATATATGGAATCTCTCGCTAAAGTCGTGATTCTAGTATCGTTATCCCTTTGTGTTAGGCGCACCTTATCGAAATGACACGTATAAACCAATTATCTTATTTGAAACATTCTATTTTTATACCAAATAGGCTATTTTGAAAGACTTTGTACCGCGATATTGAAGGAGAGAGTTAAAGGGATTGAAACACTATTAATAAAAGCCTACATCACCCACGTACCTTAATAGGAAAATAAAATGTGGAGAGCTTAGAGATACTTCTCAGATTGAAAGGGACTTTGTTTATGGCCTTGTGGTCTTAATCAATCGAATCAATGTTAGCCCAAACAATTCTCTCATAATTAGAAACTCGCTGCTATACGAACAGTATTGTAGTCAGTAGCAGTCAAAGGTGAAATCTTTGGGTGAAAGAAATGGTAGCAAATGCCATTGCTCCAGAAATTGGAGCCAGAATCATAAGACCAGAGTAGGAAATCAAAAAATGATACTGTTGATCTGCAGAGAGAAACTGGATAAGAGTACTTTCCAAAAATCTTTTCACGTTCAAAAGGAACAAACGTTCAAATTTGAAGGCAAAACAATATCGCAATGGAAATAGTGGCAGTGAAATCCAGAGTAGATCTGTCTACCATGTTCAATCAAGAGTAGAGTAATTGTTCTCAGATAATATTTGTCATCTTGATACAATAATCTCATTTACAGTTCAAACACACAAGGAAAACCCATTATGAAAAAAAAGCAAATCAGAAATTTGGGTATACTATGGTCTGTCATGCGTTTTTGAGTACTCAGACTGGTGCACAGCGTTTTGTCGTCATATAAACATTTTTTCATAATGGTCCCATCCCTCCTGTTGATCAGTAAAAATGATATACTTGTATCACTGTTGGTTGAAAATGAAAGGGAGTTGTAAAAATCCGATTATAAATGTGTGAAATAATCTCATATTATTGCACATTCCATAATCGAATCAACTCCTTATCATTCATGTTAGGTATGGTTCTTAAGAACATCCTGATGAAGAGAAGAAGAAGAAAGAATGAAAGAAATGAAAATTTTTCTCATCTCAGATTAATTTTTTTTATAGTGAAATAAATTTGCGTGTACAAATCAAAAATATGATTTACCCGGATTTAAATACTTGTAAGCAATTATAGGGCAAAATGATTTAATGATTGCAAAATTTTAAATTACATTAATTGTACATATACTATAAACTATTTATTTAAATCAAATATACTAAAGCTACCATTTTGAGAATCCCATTAACTCTTCCAAAGAAAGCCCATTCAACCAAGCCTGATTAACACCCGTTCCAGTCGATGGTATAGAATTAGCACTGGGGAAAGACGACGGAGTCACAGGATAATAATTCAACAATAATTCATTATCAACCTGTCCAGTAGCACCCCCAATATCACCACCAGTCACTCCACCACCACCATTATTCGAAGGAATTTGAGACTGTTGTTGCTCTTGATTTTTCATTTGTTCAGCCATTTGTTTCCACAAATTATCGATTTCTGCATTTTGCAAAAATCCAAAATCTTCAGACTCACCAGATTGAGAATCTACTGTAGATGGATCAGTGACGTTATTATTTGTCTTGGATGTGTCTCCCAATATAGTTGACAATGATGGACTAGCACTCCCGACAACCCTATTCCCGGGTATCGGAAGCTGTTGGGGCAATGGAGTAGGTGTCGGAATGGTCTGATCTTCAACATCATTGAGAATTTGGGAAAGATTGTATTCTTTCTTAACAGAAGTTCCTCCGGGGAATTGTCTAACTAATGCATCAGCAATCGTGGTAATTTCATTAATTTGATCTTCATTCAAATCCAAAAATAATACTGGATTATTGGCTGATTTAGCATAGAAGTCAGTGCCGAGGATCGTAGACAAGACATATCCATGGGCTTTCCCTATTCTCCAAGCATAATAATATCGTTGACTTAACTTTGTAATTGATGCCACTGAATATTTTGCAATTCTGGCAAATAATTTTGATAATTTCACAAGTTTTAAATATCTTTTCGCATATTCTGGCCCCCGTCTGAGGTTAGCTTCATGTGCCATGGGATCGACATATCTCATTTTATAGGTTGTTGAATTTAATCTTATTAAGATTGCAAAACAAAATTGGGATGTTTTGTGGATTGCGGCCAAAAGACTTGGATTTAGGATTAAATCGGCCACTGGACCAAAATTAACATAATTATCGGAAATTAATCTCATGACTGATGGGATAAATTCTCCACATAAATTTGCAAGAAGTTTCCGTAAATAAAAATAGGCAAATTCTAAATTTTGTTTTCTTTCATAATATAAATATAATTGAAAGAATATATTATTCAAAAACATCTTCATATTAATATAATTCTTACACTTCATAACCTTAATAAAAGGATAAGAATAATTATCTTGCTTAAACGGCACAAGGAAAAACTTCAACAATCCATAATGATCATTCAAATAAATCTCAAAATCCGTAATCAACCTCGTCAATTCTTTCATTGTAACCCTTTCCCTAATATCCAATGTCCTATCCAATAACACCGTCAATTTATGATAATACTTCTCAAAATACGCAAACGTGCTCACAACATGTTTTTCCATCTCCACATCCTCAACATTCTCATTCCCCGGCTTATAATAAGGCAACTTCGTATCATACATCTTCTCACTAATATTCATAGGGTTCCCGTACTGATATGACTGGACCAAATCATTAATAATCAAAAACAACCAAATCTTCCTTCCCAAATTCTTCATTCTCTCATTCTTACAAACACCATCAAAATTATCCGGCTCTCGATTCAACCCCATTGATATGGCCATCTGGACCAACATCCCATTAAAAACCTGTGAATCTCCACCATCGGCTCCATCCCCATCTTCGGGGGCAAACATCCGATAAAGTCGCATATAGAAGGCACATTGAAGCACGACAAAGTTTGATTTCCGGTTGATTTCGAATTGATCAAGACATAGACGGGCGATATTTATGACGTCAATGTTGATGGGATTGGAGAGGAGATATTTGAGTTCTTGTGCTTGTGGGGATGGATCGGAGGTGTTGAGGTTGTGTTCATTGACATTGGGATTGTTGGAGAAGAGGGATAGGTAGGTTAGACGTAATACGATAAGAAGGGTTCCGATATATGCGAAGTCTAATCTTCGTTCGACTTTGATTGATGATTTTCTGTCATTGTTGTTGTTGTTGCTGTCTTCTGGACCTAATACTCGTAAGATTTCGGCTTTGAAATATCCTTCATCGATGAATGGCATATATGGATATACTGATTGGAAAAATTTATCAATTAAAGTCCAAATAACTTTTCTTGGTGGTAATATCAATGAAATCTTCTCAATTAATTCCATATATCGATCAATCTTCCCTTCATAGAATGTCAATCCAAGTGTAAGTGCATTCTTATTCATCTCCACTCGTTGCAACAGTTTCATATCACACGGTTTCAATGCTCGAGCTGGAGTCAGCTCCTCACGTAGCTTATTAACCTCTCTTACATTTCCATATAATCGGATATCCTTCTGTCCATCTCGCTCCAATGACTTCTCTCTAAAAGTCTCGTCCAAACTATTCATATGACACACACCTGCTGCTGCTGCTTCCGCATGAGTGGCAGCTGTATCAGGAGGTGATATTGTTCCCGGTCGGCAAGCAGCCGCTAGTTTGGCATTTTCGACCGCCATTGGACATTCATCCCCATGGGGTTGTGCCCAGCCACTTTGGAGATGGTCCCAAAGCATTCGTAATCCTGGGTCTTTCTTTAGGATTGAAAACCAGGCAAGGGGTCCATAATTGTGTCTTCTTACTTCATCTTGCATGTGTATTGGAGTATAATCATCATAGAAATTGATTGTTTCTTCATCATTGGCATATAGATTTATACCTACATATGTTGGATTATTATCTGGGTCATATTTATATTCATTCCAATTGAATGCTAATTTTCTTATTGGAGGGAGTCTAATCGGACCTTCACTTGTGACGCTACCACTACCACTAACACTACCATCTTCTGATGACATATCAGCTGATCTTGATCCTAATGATTTTTCAATCTCTTTAATCTTATTCTTAAGAAATGATAATTCAGTCACTACTTGTTTTTGTTGCTGTTGTTGTTGTGGTGGTGGTTGTGGTTGTTGTGGTTGGGGCAGTACTTGGGGGAACGAATGTACACCAAAACTTGCACCATTCTGAGTCATTGTACTCAGCTGAGATGACCATATCATATCTGGATATTCACATATAGATCCATATTTACTACAAGCTGTACATGGTTTGCCTCTATCACATTTGATTTTACGCTTTTTGCAATTGATACAAGTTAATGAAATACGATTCCTTTTACGTCTTGGTTGTTGTGGTTGTTGATCGTCGTCCTGCTTTGGCTCTCCCATGTGTCGTTTATTCATATTGATAATAAATGTTGACTCCATATTGAATTTGTTGGAATTGATTAAGAGTTGGAGGGGTGATGATTAATTATAAATTGATATTTTTTTTTTGTAGAAAAGGGTTTTCGGGTTTTACGGAATTAATAATTGTACCAATGGGAATGTCCGGAGTTCTGCTCGGTCGAGACTTCCCAATTAGGAAATGCAACCAAATGTACCGAATTACATCATTCTCAAATTACGGTTCGTTTCTTCGATTCTAGAAGCACATCTAGTGATAAACAGGTAGAATACAAACGAAAGGCTTTTTTTTACAACTTAATAGTCATGAGAGTAGGCTGAGTTCAGCGGTTTGCACAATAATAACCGATTCGTTGCAGGCTTCTCATTTTACGGTAAATTCATTGGATTGCTCTCACTAGTTGCGTTGTGATAACCGCTACATAAAATATGGTATGCGCATTATTCGGTATTATGTGATGAGTCTTAGCCTGGTTGATGGCATTGGGTTTAATAAGCCTTGTCTAGGTTACCTGGTGTGAGCTCGGGTCTAAAGGGTCGATATCCGATATTGACAAGGGCTAGGGGAACAATTGCTCTGATGTAAAAAAACACAGAGTATAGAGAAGGTAGAGGGTGAAATATGTCCAACACAAGCCAGTTAATCAAATCTATGTTAGAGATAGTGGCAGGGAGACTCATGATCGATGTTCCCCTGTATAATAGTTTGGTTACTTTTGGGATAAACCCCAGAAAAACTGTAGAGTCCATACTCATATTAAATAATACATTCATTCTAATACATAGTTAATAAATTATTTTAATCTTGAAATATATAATACAAACAATTACACCTCCAAACCAATATCACCGTAAATTTCAAACAATTTCAGCAAATCAATATTTGAATCCAGCACTCCAAACATATCCTCATCCAAATTATTCAAATTACTAAAAATCTTATCATCATTATCATCATCAAGTATTCCTATACTTGGGAAATTATTCAAACCAGAACTCGAACTGGCCCCCGACGCAGACGGCGTGAAGTTATTCATATATTTACTAATCTCCGGTCTCAAATTATCCGTCAGTTGTTGTTGTTGCTGTTGTTGTTTTTTATCTCCAGCAGAAGCAGCATCATTTCTTCGCTTTTGTCGCAATTTTAATTGTTCATCCTTGGCACTCCTAAACTCCCCACAGAGACGACATAAATGTTGTAATTCCGCCACCGTGAAGAATTCAATCATATTTGTACCATGATGAAAGAATCGATGATCATGTACTGCTTTTTCAAAAAACGCATCCGGGTTCTCAACACATTGTTTAAGAATAATGTAGGTGATTGTATATAATCGATATGAATTTATATATGTTCTTGATAATTTTCGGAAATTCCCAACAAAGAGTTCTGATTCAAGTAGGACCATGGTGAATAATGAATCAATGACATCTAGGCGGGGCTTCACCCCGGGGTCTTTGAAGACTTTGAATGAAAGTTCTTTCTTTTCATGGAGGAGTCGGAAAAAGAATGAAGTTAGGAATGAAAGTGCCTTCATCATATATCTTTCATTTTGCGATGTGAGGTAATAATCAAAGTTTTTCCCAAATAATTCCACCGAATTATCCAAGACATATGACATGATATATACCAATTGAACCACACTTTTGATATAGATTTTAAATAATTCGATCCCAGCATTCATTGATGGGGTTTTGGATTCATTATAGACGTTTTCATAATGTAGGGCAATCATATAATACATTCCGGAAAGATTGGTTCTCAATTGGACAAAAAGACTATATTTCGCCACCTTGACACACATTTCACGATGTTCTTTACTACTTATATCAAACCCATCACTCCCCTGAGGAACTTTTGCCGGTTTACAAATCACATCCTTAAAGAAATCTTTGCCAAAAAATTCAAAAAACACCTTCTCCAATTGATTAGTCTCCATTAAAATATCCACAATCCTCGGTTTTTCTCGGACATTATTTATCTTATTCACGATATTCCTATATGATTGAGATATCATAATATACTTCTCAATAAACTCATCCATCTCCACCAGCTTCCCATTATCCTCCTCCTCCACGGGAGATTGAACATCACTTATATCCATATTCATAAGATTCAAATTCGTCCCCGTATGAATCGCGCTCACAGCATCCATACAACACAAATAATGCCAAAGTGCCCTCCAGGTCCTAATCAATGGCTCCGACCGACATATACTACTATGGGTGACATAACAGGTTGGATCCCGGTTTAAGCCAATACTCATGGCATGTCTCACAATCACCCCGAATAAAATATGCGCATCCGCCCCCGAAATCCCATGACAATCATCAGGAACAACATGACGGTAGAAATATAACATGGTTAATAATTGAACTAGTTTGAATGATGATTTGGGTCTGATTAAGGAATCCCCGCCGCCGATACAGAGATTGATTGCATTAAGGAATGTGGAGGAGTCGATTCGTTTCATGTCGTTGATAAGTCGTTGTTCATTCGGGGTGTAGGTGTTGTAGATATCGTCATTGTGAACGAGACTGAGGTATCCTAATCGCATTATAAGGAGGAGGATTCCCATGATTTGAAGGTCGTTGTCGGAGTTGATGGTGACTTGATAGAAATATTCCTGGTTAAAACTGGGGAAATGGTCTAATGGGGTATTGACTTCCATCATGAAGGTTTTTTCATCAATGATGGGGATGAAAGGATGGACATATTTGAAATATCGTGAGAAGAGGACAAACAGGTTGAGTTTATCCGGGAGGATGGATAATAGGATTCGTTCAACATATCTATAATAATCTGACTTGTCTTTTCTTCCATTATATATTGATTCAATTCCAGGTAAGATATTAATCCCATTTTGAGGACTCTTTTCTGATGTATTTATCGTATCTGAATCCTCTATTCTATTACTATTATTACTATTTTCAGACGCCGCCGCGGCAATTTCATGAGCTTGACTACCTGTCCTCGCTATCTTGTTGACAATTAGTATATCCTCCGCCATTAAATCCTTCACCGACGGTATATCCTTCTTTTTCTTCTTATTCTGACTCCTATCTGAATCCACACTAACAATCGACTGTGGTGAAGTCTTCTCGGAATCAGACCTCACCATCGGCGTCTTACCAAATGGTGAACCCTCATCATTATGACCGTTCCCATTTCCATTTCTAGAATTCTCATTCTCCCCACCCACTATTCCATTCCCATTATTATTATTTCTTGCTGCTGCTGCTGCTTGTTCAGTATGTATAAACCCGGTCATTTCTCCCGTTTTTAATAAATGAATAGTAAAATTTCTCAAAATCTTAATAAACGGATCACTCTTAGTCAATCCATTATATGACAATGTTCCATGTTGTTGCCAGATTGGACCTTCTAAATTCAATGAAAAACTGGCATTTGTGAATACATTCATTCGATCTTCGGGACTTACTTGAAGTGAAGAATTGGGTCCGAGGGGGATGGAGACTAAGGGGTGGCTATAGACTGAATCACCCCCTTGTTCGTTACTACTAGTGGTGTTGGCATTGTTGTAGGAGGATGTTGAGGTTGATACTGTCATTGATTCAGCTAGTGGAAATGCTTGTATGGGTGGGATAGGTGCAGGTATTGGAACCGGTGGTAGTGGTTGTTGTTGTTGTTGTTGTTGTTGATCGATAGGAGTGTTACCATATCTTGTTTCTGACATTGGAAATGATAAAGTACTCGATGTACTGGATGGGTGAGGGTAGAATGTACCATTATTTGAAACTGGTGATATACCAGTGGAAAGTGGTGTTGATTTATTCGAAGATGATGCTTTATTATTATTACTGATATCACCAGGGGCAGGTCTTTTAGTTGGAATATTGGTTGTTGTTGTTGCAACTGTTGGTAAAGGTAAAAGGGTATTTGTAATAATTGGTTGTGGCATAGTTTGTGATCTGAATGTTATTGGAGGGATAGATGCCATATAAGGTGAAGGCAATGTATTACGAATTAATGGTTGCGAATGTTGTTGAATTGGAGGAGGTGGTCGAGGGAAACTTGTAGGGGTTAGTGGTGGTGGTGGTGGCCCTACTGCGGGGGATACTGGTTGAGAATTTGGTTGTGGTGGAGGGGGTAACAGATATAATTTTGGTTTGGGTGGTTCATTTGTAGTAGCAGTGGATGATGAGGATGATGAACCTGTTGATGTTGATGTTCGTTTATCACTTTCATAGAAACATAAATGAGATAATGATTTCTTTATACATGCACCACAAGTTGGTTTTTGTCGATCACATTTAGCCTTTCGCTTTCTACAGATTGTACATGAAGCAGGTATCCTATTTCTTTTCTTATATGAGAATGTCATAGTAAATTATTAGTGGATTTATGATAAGTAAATAGTTATTGATATAAGACTAATAATAAGAAGAAGAAGAAGATGTAAATGATAAATTTAAAAAACTCTAAAAGTTTTTATGGAGAAAGAATCAGAGAGGATGTTTTTTTTTTGTAACAAGAATCATAATTAGGTACAAGCGACATTTTTCCCCACTAGATGTTTTTCCATTGTTTTAATAACGATTTAATAATAATACATATACAGGACAGGATTAATACAAATGCCACTTGTACATTTCCGGGTATTTACAAGATTCATATATGACTATTAACTTGTAGATAAATCTAGTCATCAAGAAAAGTGTATGTTGGATGGTTTTGTTTATGAACCAACTAAGCTATATTATTAGTTTGAAAAACTTATGAGCCCTCGGTAATTGCACCGAATAACCTTTCAAATTTGAAACATCTTCCAAAAACGCCGTGTTCAATGATCTTTGCTTTTATGTCAGACCTCATAGGCAGAAATCTAAGTGGAAGTAATTTCTCCAAATAAAAGAATTAACGCGGGGTCAAGAACAACGGAAGATAGGCTTCTTTGACTAAAAAACAAAAAGTTGACAGAAGCTATTGTAAATATACAAAGAATATTGTGTTAGAGTTAACAGTAAGACTAACCAATCTGACAATTAAAAAGATCATAATGGGATTGGGATTTTGGCATGTTTCTTCTTAATTAGGAAAGTGTGCCTAAAAAGAAATATTTTTTAATATTAAATCAATAAAATAAAAGACAATAAAAAATAATCTTTAATGCATAGAAATATTGTTTTGGCGAAGGGTCCCCCACTCGATCTCCCCCAAGAAAAACAGTTCAGTTCAACTTAACAGTTGATCCATGATACAGGTTAAACAGCTGATTGTTTTATTCAGATTTGAAGATCACAACATCTACCGATATTGCTACTAGGCACTGCTGCTGCTAAGGATCTGATAAGAATATCAGATATGCATGTGCTTTTCTTGTTGCTGTTGAAGAGTCTACGAGAAAGGAAAGAGAATGTCCTCTAAGTCCGAGCTGTCTTCTTCTGGAACCTCTCCTAAAGATTTCTAGTTCTATCAACAAGAAAATATCTATATATGAGAAGCTCGAAAGAATGATTCAAAGTAAATAAAACTGATGGGATTCTAACTGCTCGCTCTCAAATTCCCTTTCTGTGTGTCGCAATAAAATCTCAAAGACGCAAATGTTTTAAATGTGTCGCAAACTTTTATGATTTTCAACGCGTAAAAAAAAACCTTCTCGCTCTAGAAACCAACGCGTCATAATTACTTCAATACAAAAATAAAAATTCTTCAAAAATCATCAACTTCTTCTTCCTCAAACACCTCAAACAACAACCATTATGTCAGAGTCACCAATAGACATTGCCGGTGACGACTATTCTGAAATCGAAGAATTCGACGATTTCATAGAAGACGATCTTAATCAACCACCTCCAGTTTCCAACCAATCTGAACCAGAAGAAACCGAAATCGAAATCGATCGTATTCGTACCCTCACAACTACCCTAAAACCCCATGAATCACAAGCACAAAAACTTCTCAAAGCCCATATTGCAGTTTTAGTATCCGCATTAGGTGGACCTGATCATACTTCCTCCCAATCCCCTCCCCCTTACAAACTTGGTCATGATGCACTTGCATGTCTTAAAGATATCAAACGATGGATTAAAGCGGTGGATGAACGAAGAAATAATTATGAAGTTGCACTTGCGTGTGCTGAAAGTGGATTGGTTGCGAATGATATTCTTGTGATTCTTTGTCAATGGGATAAACAAATGTCCAATAAAGAAAATATAAAGAATAAAACTACGATGGAAAAGATTATGTTGACATGTCTTGAATTATTGGTATTATTGACTTGGCCGGTTGATTTTGGGAATGAGATGAGTGAACAACAGAAATTATTGTTTGTTGATCTTAAAAGGACTCATATTGTTTATAAGAAACATATATTGGGATATAATCAAGGACAAGTATTAAAAGCGGTGATTAGATTGGCATTGCCGGTGATTGCTAAATCGAGAATTGATCGAGAAGCTAGAGATAATCAGATATTGAAGTTGGTATTGTATTTAATTAGAAATATAATGGCGATTGAACCGGCAAGTGTTTCGATTCTGACTAAATCAAATAAACAAGTAGTTGCAACTAATGAATTACCTCCCGGTATAACTCAAGATGATATTTCATTAAATAATGTCCTTTCAGTATTCAAGAAGAATAAAGTCTTAATGTTATTATTAACAATGTCAGGATCAATCGGTACAGAATTCGATAAGGATATATTCGGAGAAATTTGTTTAGAATGTATTTATCTCATGGTTAAAGGATTGAAATCAGAAGATATCCTCACCATCAAAATCCCTCAACCCCAGGCACCTCAACCTCCACCATCAACCACCACTCCAGACAATGACATCACCAACCCATCCCAACCGCTCGAATCAATCACCACCACGGCAGGCCTACAACTCCAAGACCTCCTCCAAACCGAATCCACCCGCAAGAAAACCCAAACCCAACACATCTCAACCCGTCATGGAAGATTCGGATCCCTCTTATCAATCCGCAGCAATGGCTCCTCCGATGCCAATTCATACGTCGTATCAGGTCAAGAAGCACTCATAAACACCGACACAACATTAGAGAAATTGGATAGATCCAAGAAATGGAACCTGAGGAATTATTTCAAGTATGATTCTGATGAATTTGTGAAATCAAGACAAGGTGATGTGTATTTATCCAGCCAAGGCCAGGCAATATTGACGGAATTTCTTGAGCTGGTATTATCTGGAGGATGTTTTAATAATTTGATTGAGGTGATGGGGTCGAGGATGACTTCGGATGATGATAATCTTGATGAATATTCAAAAGCGAGTTATTTCTTTACTATTGCTTGGTTTTTGAATTATCAGCGGAATAGAATCGAAAGGAAAGCAGAAAGTGATTATGGATCTGTCGGGGCCGCGTTATCACAAGTGAATTTTATACTTATAATTGGATATTTTAGGGAGTCGTTTTCTAACAAAGCGTGGAATTCATTACATGTTGCCATGATTTGTTTTAGGGAACTTCTCCAAATCTCGAATTCAATCTTTGGAAAACAACACCAAGACCAAGAAGACGACAACTCTCAACAAGAAATCGATCGTGAATTAGCAGAAGGGATAATGAGGAAATTATTCTCCTTTAACGATTTCCTCAACATCCTCGTCCAAATCCCCCAAACCGCATCCAAACATTCCCCCGATTATCTCAGTGTATGCATATCCACCATTCATATCCTTCTCAAGGCGTTCGAAAGGTTTGCCAATGAAGATATCCACCTCTATATCCAATCCAAACGCAAAAAATCCCACCGTAAACGCATTGCCAACGATCTAAATCGAGACACCGACATTCGTCTTCGTGATGTCATTGAAGCAAACTCCGACGAATCCGACTCAGAATCAGCCACAACAATTCGTGAAATCACAAGAGAACGAAAACTAGATTTCAAAACCACCGAAATTCGATTCTTCCAATCCAGTATCGTGACAACCTATATTGAATTCTTATCCCGATTTGCCGATCTCCTGCACCGGGAGATCAAGATGTGTCTTGGGTATTTCCATCGATTATTCGTCATTCATAAAGATTTCACCGGGTTATATAGATTGGATTTCATGTTATTATTACCAAGATTGAGAAATCATTTACCGAGAGGTTCAGGAATCCGAATCCAAGTGGAAGAATTTATATATTATTTCATGAAACGGTTTAAAGTTGCATTAGCGAGATTTCCTAATCCGATAGAAATTTTGTTTCCCAGGTTTGAGGATGCTGGGAATAAGACCTTCCTCGCCACGGGGGAACTCTACTACCATCCTGAGAAAGAAAGCACTAGTACTCGACAACCAAAGCTTGCCAAACCATTAGAATTCGTGCGTGATAATTTCTCCCCTGATGAGAGAGTCAAGATATTAATATCAGCATTATATGCACAAGACAAACAGACTTTCCTCAATTGGATCATCTCCGAATTTGAAAGAATCATATCCATAAGAACCTTAGACTCCAATGCCATGGCAGTGATCAACCCGGGAAATGTGAACAAACTGTATATCCGTCTCTTCATAAACAATGCTAATCTCCGTCTATTACTCCTGACAATGGGGTTCGAATTACCATTCACAACATTAGAATATCCCGAATTGCCACCGCTGATTACAGTTGATAAATTTGTTGAATGGGTGGAATTGATTAAGAAGTGGACACAAGCCCAGCCGGTTGAATTTGACGATGGAAGACATCCGCTGTCATATTTACGAGTACATGAAGAATATAATGATGAGGAGTATAATAGCGGCTATGACGAAGATGACGAGGGCATTGCATTCGAAACAACAACAGGAAGTTCAGAGCGGACTCAGACCGCGGAAGAATTGGATAATTTGGAAGAATTAGAACGAAGAATATCATCATCATCAACAACATCTCATGTTGAAAAAGGAAAAGCCATCCGCAAGAAGAGATCCAAACCCGCCAATAAGGCACCCAAGGCTCCAAAACCAGCCAAGAAATCATCCGGTGCCACCCAATCCCGCCGCTCCAAATCAATCCAAAAAGCAACCGGAACCTCCACCCCTTCCTATCGTTCCTCCGAATTTGTCGGCCTTTCCGACGACGAAAGTGACGATGAAAAAGACAAAGCATTCTTCGAACGAGAAGAAAGATTGAGAAATATGTTGAACAACAATGGAGGAATCGTGAATGCGGCCCAATTGGCTGAATTTCGAAAAATGTGGGCGATGATGGAAGAGAATGATCATAATGATAGTGGAAATGGAAAGACGGGAGAAGTTGTCAGGAGTGCTATTGAACGGACTGAGTCTTTGTTTGTGAATGATGATGATGATGATAGTGATGGAGATGGAGTTGGTGAAGGGAGTGAGAATGGTGGGGTGACATCTTCGCGTACGTCTGATAATGAGGTTGAAAGTGGTGATAAAAGATTGGCTTCTCAGGTGGATGGTGATGACGAGGAAGAAGGAAGATCAACAATCAAGAGAAAGCGTTTAATTATCGACGATGATGAAGATGATGATTAGGATTGTTTTTGTTTTATATGTATAGAAAGAATTATATAGAGAATTTATTAATAATACACGTATTTTCTAAGTAATGACGAAATGATATATATCTAATGATGCTCCGGATATATCTAATAATGATCTGAATATATTTAACACTGGCTATCGCCTCTTATCGCCTCTTGCGACGCGAGATTAACCAGTTGCACAATGATTCTCTCCTTTATTCCCAATCGACTCCCTAATAGTCATATATGAGCTAATAAACATCACCAAAAACCCAAACACAACACATCCAATACTCGGCACCGCCTTCATCCACAAAAACTTCCGTCTATCTTTCGGCAACCCATTTTTATAATCCTCTTGATCCCATGATAATTTAAAATAACATAATGGAGGAATAATATATGCCATCAAACTCGCCGACGTCGCCCCAATCAATTCAAGAATCATACCTAAATTACAAGTGAATAAACTGACCGACATCGAGGAAAATACTAATATCGAAGTGATTATGAAATGTTGCCTTGAAGAGAGTTCTAATTCCGAAGCGGTAGTTTCTCCCGAGGCGGCTTTTCTGGCAAGGACGATTTCTTTTAGGACGTCTCGTACGACGAACATCTCAAGGGGGAAGGTTGTTAACATATTGAGTCCAAAACAGAATCGGGCGATGTTTATCCAATTATCATCACTTTTGAAATTATTCAAGACGTTCCCCTTGGTGTTGTCGCCGAAATTGATGAGGCCATTTATACCCATTATTAAACAGAATATCATGGATATTATACATGATATATGAGTTAATTTGGCGAATTTCCCCATGGAAGCGTTTTTCATGGAGTTGTAGATAAACATGGTATTATGATGACATACTAATGCGAAAGATATGACTGAGATTCCTTGAAAGATATCGAAGTTGACGGTCCATTCCGGTAAGGTGAGTGGTGCTTTTAGATCTTTGGAAACAAAGGGGGCTCTTACTATTGTGAGGACAACAATGATGAACATTCCGACCAAGGCGAATCCTGAAGCTTTTGCTAATTTGGAGATGTCTCGGTTTAGGGATAATGGATATGAAATACAGGTGGTGAATAAGATGATGATTGTATTTCTATAGAATAACCAACCTAATGGAGTACCTGGTTCTGTAATTGAAGCTGGTATGAATGCTTTTAGGACATGAGGGATAGTATCTCCAATAATGACACAGAATGCCATACAACCTCCATAAGCAAATGAACAAATTGAACATAATAAGACGATTTTCCCCCATATACCAAAACAATAATGGACCGAATCTTGATAAGATTTAGTTTGACTAAGGATTGAATTACGGACAATTAATCGTAATGTCCAATCTATAAGTAATGTTAATAACAACATTACTATAATACCTCCTACAAGTCCACTATTTCTGAATGCATAGGGTTGACCAATTATACCTGCTCCTAAGATTGAATTTGCCATATTCATAAATGCCATTTTCATACTTGATCCACCAGTTTCTTCTTCTTCCTCTTCTGCTTCAACTGGTACTTCTCCTTCTAATTCATAATCAAATGAATCTAATGTTCGTAATTCGAATTCTTCATGATTTGGTGTATTTCCATTTAATGCTGCTTGTTGTTCTTCATCTCTTCTATTATGATCATAAGCTGAATAAGTGGGTGGAGGTGTAGATACTGTTTCTACTAATGGTGGCCCTTCTTCTTGAGATATAGGAATATATTGTTTATTAGTTTTTGATTGTTTAATTGCCATACTGAATTCATATATAATATCTGGTAGTCTTTAAGGATGTGTGTAATAAGGGGTTAATGTAATAATTACTATAGTAATGTTCTATGCATAGACGGTGTTAGGTATATATGTTATAGAAGTCTAATAGTAATCTAATAATGTTTTGTTTGTAGTTAATGAAACTATAATGAAATTATGTTATACGGTTGGTTATGTTGTTGACTTTATAAAATATTATTTTTTCAATTGATTCATTTTCTTATCAAACAATTAAATTTATTATTATTATTGTTCTACTTCTTCTTTCTATTCTATTCCTATTCTACTGTATTCAATTAATAGATGGATTGCAACTAAAATGTGTATGTATATATCTATGTATATAGATATATACAGATTACTTCAAAATCATATAACTTAACATAAAGGTGTATGTATTTATGTATCCATCTGGTAAGTATATATTTATAAACTACTACTATACCAACATTACTACAGATAAAGGGAAACCCACCTTTTCATCACATATTAATTATGATAATGATGATGATGATGATTATTATTACCAAAGTGGAAGAAGTGATGAGATAACATATTTCTAAATAGCCTCTATTTTACTTACAACCAATTAATTATCCATCTTTGGTAGAAAGTCTTACGGAAGTGCTTAGGACTTTGTTTGGCCCAACAATGTCTGTTGTTCTTATGTCACATACATATCCATTAAACACAAAGAGAATTCCTTTTTCATTCAGATTCCTTTTCTTATGTACGGTTTATCGTACAACTACGGCTGTCGATTGAATGTCGTCTGTAAAGTTAAGGATAATCAACCAAATTACTTACAGTACGTTAGAAACTGTAAGCGCTACCAATGGCTATGACTTAGGTGGTCCAGTCTGGCTTCCAGTTGGACTCTCTTGAGAACCATTGATATCCAAATACAATAAGGAAGTTATAGAAGATGCACCATCCCTTACCATTTGAGATGAAGAAACTATACACTGACAAGTAATAATTAGTTTTGAAAGCGGATCAACTTGGTTACTGTAACTCTACTTAAACCGCCCTGATATTATACAAGTTTATAATAACAGTTAGTTCCTATTGTACAAAGAGGCTTTATACGAGCATGGAATGATAATAAATATACGTATACATAGATTTCTTATCATTAAATATGAAACGGTTTTGCTTTATAGGTTGTTTTATTTCGAATTTTAATTTTTTTTTATTTTTGCAACTTTAATTACTGCATCAATCAATCAACAGCAGCAGCAGCATCTCATCACTCACTAACAAAATATTTTTTTAGTTCAATTTATTAATCAAAATATGATTTTCATTTATTCTCTTTCATTTCAACCACCACATATAAATAATATTAATAGAATAATAGACTTAACATGGCACCAACACCAGAAGGAAGAGGATCAAGCAGAGGAAGAGGCGGTTTCAGAGGAGGAAGAGGTGGCTCCAGAGGCAGCTCTAGAGGAGGAAGCAGGGGCACTTTCAGAGGAGGAAGAGGAGGAAGCAGAGGTGGTTTCAGAGGAGGAAGAGGAGGAAGCAGAGGTGGATCCAGGGGCAGAGGAGGAGCAGTTAAGAAATACATGCATACCCGTGAAAACAAAACTGCAGAAATCAAAAAAGCATTAACTCATCGTGCAAGATTAAGAAAGAATTATTTTAAATTATTGGAAAAAGAAGGATTACCTGAACGAGAAGAACCCGAGACTATTGATGACGAAGATGTGTCTGATGATGAAGAAGAGCAGGAAAGGAGGCTGGGTGACGAAGAAGATCATGAACTGAGGGAGGATGACGACGAAGAAGCTGAAGTCGAAGAAGAAGAAGAACCCAGAGAAAAGGAAAGGAGAAAGGAACAACCAAGAAAACAACTTACATTTGCTGAACGTACTGAACTTATAAAACAACGAAAACAACAACAACATAAAGAAAAACTCGAAATGGTTCAACAACGTCTTTCATCAATTCAAAAGAATACTCAAAGACGAGAGTTATCAAAATTACGATTTGCAAAACATACTAAATCAGGTCAACCATTAATGGGACCTCGTATAAATAATTTATTAGAAAAGATTAAAAAGGATAGTTAGACTATTTGTATTCTATATATATATGTACATGATTTTTATAATCTAAGTATACGTTTTCTGGCATTACGTATTGCCAATACGAAATCATATATGTATAACATACTTATTCTTCTTTGATATTGCCACCATACTTTCACCAATTCAACTGATTTCATAATTGAAAACCCTGTAGGCTGATACTTCTCCTTAATCAATTCTTGATCTTCCTCATAAACACATCTAGCACAATAATTGGCCATAATCATAAATGTCCTTTCTGGACCTAAATGACTCTGTAAATTCTCATCCAAATTCCTCGTCAAATCATTCGTTTTTAAAATCAATAAAACCATTCTAGGCATTGAACTTAAAATATACATTAAATCTTCAATTATTTTACTATCGGAATTAATTTGAAATTGAATATCCAAAATCTCTCGTTCACTTCTTCTAGTTCTAATATCATAATTCAAAGCATTATCAGGGGCTCTACCAGTAATTGCACTCATAAAGATCCTGAACTTTTGTTCTCCTTCAATTCCAGCAAATTTATATGCATATTCTTTCATCTTGGGTATATCATTATCTATAACAGCCAACCAGAAATGACTATAGTCTCGTTTCATCTGAAGGGGGATATCACGATATAATCCATGATCATACAAGACAATCTCGAAATTATGTCCTCCATTTCCAGTACTGTTTTCGATATGTCTGATTGCCAAGTTCCCACCATGGGGGTCACAATGTAATGCCACTCCAGGAGTAAAGATCATATTGTTAAAGATATGGGAAAGACAAGATGAGACTTCAGAAGTATCAATACCATGTTGTCTCATATATTCCAAATTATCCAACCTCGCTCCGGCAACATATTCCATAATCAATATCCTCGGTTGGGAATAAACCACCCTTGGGATCCTCAATGCTGTCTCCCGTTTAAAATCCTTAAAGTATTCCCGTGTCTTTCTCGCATTCTCCCCCTCCTTCGTGAAATCAAGTTCTACAAATATAGAATTCTGCATTTCATCACCTAGCCAAGTCAAAGGATATTCCGGAAAGACCAAATACATCAAATCAAACACCATTTTAGTTAACTTCACATCAATAGGAACAAATTCTTTCAAACTAGGATGTTGAACCTTCACGGCAACTTTTTCCCCCAGATCTTTCAATCTCGCAATATGCACCTGAGCCAAACTAGCAACTCCAACCGGTTCCAATTCAAACTCCTCAAATAAATCATCCATCCCTATCCCCAAATCCGCCCTAAACATCTTATCTATCTCTTCCAAACTACTTCTCGGACATTGATCCTGCAATGGAATCATCGTGTCCGTCCATTCAGGCGGCAACAAATACGTCAAGGCAGTAATATGTTGTCCTAATTTAATATAGATCCCTCCATTCTTTTCTAATGCCTTCAATGTGATTTCAGCAGCTCGTTTATGGGTTTTGTTTAGGGCATCATTACGTTCTTCTGGCGTGGGGAAGGTGGTGCCTAAGGTTTCTTTATATAATGCAAAACATCGGATCATGGCCACGGTGACGATTCGGGTACGGTCTAAGGTGAGGATGGTGTGTTTGAAGGTGTCGTTGGTGTAGTAGAGAAGGGTGGAGCCTAGACCGAGGACTAGTCCTATTTTGAAGAGGGTGGATGATTTGGTTGATTTGGATGATTTGGTTTTAGGAGTGGGTTTGTTGGGGATGATTGTAGTCGTGGTTGTGGTGGTGGATAGATATCTTTTGGTTGCATAAAATGATGGTTTTGGGAATAACTGGGGTTTGAATAATAGGGTACGAATAGTAGGTAGTCTACTAGTATTAATAGTAGATCTCCGGAGTAAGATACTACTGGTAAACATCCTTTCCTTTAAGATACGTCTAGTAAAGTAAGTAAGTAATAATAAATATAATATAAAATGAACTTTGAAAAAGTTTTGTTGAAATAAAAATGTGAATATTGAAAACTGAAAATCAATGTGAAGAAGAATGCCAACAAAATTTTTTATCACAAAATTGAAAAGACACTCAACAACAGATAATTATTAATCGAAAGATTTTATTTAAATATTTTTTTTTGGTTACTCATGTGAGAGTTACAAATGATTGCAAAATATTCACTACCTTTATTAATAAATACATAATCCCATTAAAACATAAACTACAAATCTAATCTCACTCTATATATATACCTAAACTACCACTCTCATCACTGGAAATATTGCTCAACCCCACCAACTCCACCACTTCTCATAAATCCATTATTTCCACTTATCTGATCTAACCAATCAAGATCAAAATCATTCAAGTCATTAAATTGATTAGATAAATCACCAAAAATACTATCTAAATCATTATTAAACCCACTTCCATTCTCAACCATATTCATTTGAGGTTGTTGCTGTTGTTGTACCATTGCCATTGGCTGAGATAATACCTGTGGTGGTGGTCTAATATCAATTGATCCCATTCTGTTTGCCCCAGGCATACCTATCGGAGTCGAAGGAGCAAATGATATTGGAGTAGTACCAGTACTTGTTGTTGGAACATACATATTATTACCTGGAGGAAGGGCGGGAAGTATACTTCTAGATGTATTTGCATTCACGATTGGTGTTGCTGGACTATTATTCTCTGAAGCTCTTCTAAAATGCTCTCCACCTCTGATATTACTCTCAATTGGATTACTATACAGTGACATTGTTCTTGATAGGTTATTATGATCAAATGGACATTTTCTCTTCTTGGTAGCATTGGGTTTATCTGAGCGTGGACTACCTCCACCACCATTCATAACTTCCTCTTCACTCATTGGAGTAGTGATATGTGATATCGGACATGCAGAGACTTTCTTCGTAGTTGAAGTTGTGGTTGTGTTTCTCACTCTGGCTTGATCAATAGATTCAACTTTTATAACCGGACATTCCAACCCTGACTTGCCAACCCCATTGAATTCTGGAATACCAGCATGTAATTTCGCATAATTAAATTTCCCAATCTTATCAGAACTTATAAAAGTTAAATAAAATTTCCATAATTTTGATAATTTAAAAATCCGATCTTTATTCTTCATAATTTTTTCAAGTTTATTAATCGTGATTGTAATCTCTTCAACCACGATTTTATTCATATATTCAACTGGTGTCTTCAATCCAAACTCAGTCCCAATCCTTTCTGGACAATGTTTTCTAAATGTTGCTTCTTGAATCAATCCGGCTTCATCATCACATTTGATCCGAGTAATTAGACCAATTATAAATTGGATTGATCGAGTAAGGAGTTCAATAATTGCAGATAACAAATATTCCCACTGGCTAGATCCATTATCATCATCAACCAATTCATGAAATTGTTTAATCATCATATATAAATTCGTAAATATCTCAGGAATTATATTCTCAATCATATCCAAATCAACATTTTCTTCCAGTTGCAATAATAATAAATATCTCATAAAATATCGGAAATAATTCAACATTAACAAAATCTCCAATTTCCAAGTCTGGTTATTAATTCGTTCTAATCCAGAATCATTTATCCAAGTGTTTGCTTGTTTGATTAATGATTGTAATATATCTACCGTTAATGAATTGGGTTTGATTATACCTGAATATAAATTCCTCGAGATTCTGGCAATTAGATAATGGACATGAAACATGATAATTAATTCTTCACTATAGTTGATCCTACTCACATATTGTAAATGAGATTTCAATCCATCAACTTCATCAATCTTTTCATATAATCTAGTTAATAATCCCAGTAATTTCTTATTATTGTTAGCCCCGTGGTGGTGGTGATATAAATCAGGCATGAATTGAAATGTATATAAATTGACAATTCTAATAAGTTCCATCCATAAATTGCATACATTAAACCTCAATTCTTTCACTTTATTCTTCTTCTTCGATTCTGATGGTTTATAATTGATAAATTNCTCAATTCTTTCACTTTATTCTTCTTCTTCGATTCTGATGGTTTATAATTGATAAATTCAGGATGTTTCCAAATCTCAATCCCACCACCATCATCATCATCATCATCGCCAATCACAATCCCCAAAGTCTTCACAAACAACTCCATAAACCCATCTCCACTACCGGTCTTGATCTGCATCTTCAACAACCCCAAACATACAGCCACAACCGGCAATCCATTCATTCCAATATCAATATATTCACCCACAAACTCATTCACCTCCTCATTCACACACCTCTCCAGCTCCCCTTTACGTCTGCCGAGAATCTCCTTATATCTCCCATCCACTCCCCAAACATCCTCCCATTTCTCAACCATCTCCTCAATGATAATGGTCAACATACATAGGTATATCCCCGTTTGTTTTAATCCTTCAAGATTAGCAAAAGAAGTATGATGATATAACATCCCCTGGGAACCTCGAGTTATGATATCATGAATCTGGGCCTTATATAATCCAAATATATTACTATATTCATATCGTGAATGATCATGGACATATTCGTCGACTAATTGGTGTAAGATGCCGTCGTCTAGTATGTGTTTTCCCAGTTGTCCAATTAGGATTCGTTGCCAGAGATTGGATAATTTTGATGTGGGATCGGCATTGGATTCTTTCTTCCTGTTGGTGATGGTGGTCGTTTTGGTGGGGTGGGAATAAGGACAGGTTTTCTTTGGACTTGGAGTTGTTTCTTCATTCATGAAATTGAAATCGCATTCAACGACTGGACATCGATGGATATCTGACCCATTTGAGATTCCATTAGATGATGATGATGTGGTGGTGAAATCGATTTCTTTGATTTTGCTGCGTTTCGAATGTGGACAGGACAGTTGTGCTCGGGATTGGAGTTGTTTTTGGGGTTTTTGTTGTTGTTGTTGCTGTTTTAGTTGATTCATTTTATATAAATGATATATCTTTTGAAGATTGGTAATCTTACACCAAAGTGCAGTTAAATGAGGATCTATTTTAATCAAACTTATCCAAGAATATAAATCAACCCTCTTTTCCTCCACCTTCCCTTCCATCCTCAGCTTATTACTACTCTCTCCATTATTCAATATCATATAATCCTCCCCAATTTCCAAGTTCTCATTCCCATTATTCATTCCCGGGTTCAACTTCTGCAAAACATTAATCACAACTCTTCGATGATCCTCATTCATATCCATACTCATCCTTCGACTCGATATCATCATATTTCCCGGACTCATCATCATTGGACTCATCCGAGATGATGAACTAGATAATTGTGAAAGCACGGCCATTTGTCTCTTCAAATCATCAATCTCCTTTCTCTGAATCCCAATGATTCGGTCTTGTTCCTTTTTGAAATTCTTAAATACTTCAGTATCCTCAATCCTACCACTCTCTATAGCCTGTTGATGATGTTGGATCTCGGGTTGAGGAGGGCTGGTGGCGCACCACCGGGTTACCCCAACCTATATACATGTATCTACAGGATGAGGCAAGGCCTCACATCCTCCACATGGTCGGTCTTTGTCACATTTGACTTTTCGTTTCTTACAAGCGAGACATGAGACTGGGACTCGCTTTCGTTGTCTTTTTTTAGGTTGGTTGTTGTCTATAGGGTGGTCTGACATATCGCTGGTTGTGCTGAGTGTTAGGAAACTCGTATGATGATGATGATGTACTATGTCTGTATATTTATAATAATTAGTAAATTATTTTTCTGATATGATCACATTGGTGATTAAAATTCCGTTAACAATGAGAATGCGCATCCGTTTTTCTTCTTATGATTTTTTCTGGGCATTTTCATTAAAATCAAATGGATCTGGTAAGTTATAGTGTATAATCGAATATTAGCGATATATCCGATGGTCTAACATAAAATACACAAAAGATATTCCCCATTGGCTCCATTTCGATATTTTCTCTTTTCCATTTCTAGAAACCAAAGTATAACCTGAAATTATGCCGATGCCGAAGCCTAAGCCTCACAATTCAAAAGGAAACATATGAGTAGTGCTTGGCTTTTCACAATACTTTGTGAAACCTCCTCCCATGAATGTCTTGGAAGCCATATGGTATAATTCCGGATTATACCCATGTGTGCACGGAATTAAATCCCCATTGTAATGTTTAATTTTTGTGCTGCATAAAGAAGGGTCTAATTTCATCTAAACAATCATAGCCTCAACTTGACCTTCCTTTCTAAATATAATTAGATGCCGACGTGTTTCATGGCATAAACATACGGAACACCTCCCGATATGCTTAAACAATGGAAAGAGGAAGCGAATGAAATCTGTCTGTTTCTTTCCGTATCCGACTCCCGACGCATCCATTTGAAGTAATAGTACGTCATTAGTGCATGACATGGACTATATAGGTAATTTCATACGGACTTTATAGGTAGTTTATTGCTAGATAGTTTTCTTCGTCGGTGTTACATTTATTTGCAACTGGAATTTGATATTGCTGGGTTCACTTTTGAGATGATCGATGATGATTAATACCTCGGTTTATAAGAGCTGATGCTCTCTTGTATTCTAGAACATTTTGTTCGACTAACAAGTTGCATAATGGGTTAAGTCTTGGAAATCTTCAATTGTCTTGTTTTACAATAATTTGAGCAACTTCCAACCAATCAATACATAGTAGTACCAACAAGTCTAGGAAACATACCATAGAAAATTGTAAAAACAAAAATAAATATCTTCCCAATTAATTGTCTCAGTTGGGGAAGTTACTTACCTGACAAGCTCCAACCGTAATGGATGTTTCTTCAATATAAACATACTTCTATTTCACTTTGGCTTGAATGGAAGATTTTTGGCAACCAAACAAAATCTCACTTTCTGGACTGAAGAAAAAAATGGCAACCCTCTTCGCAAATCTCATTCCTCATCAAATCTATCCCAAACATACAACTATCCATCAACTTACCATTACATCCCCATTCCCCAATCCATTCGTTAATATCACATCACCCACACAATGTCAGCAGGTATACCAGTCCGACTCCTCAATGAAGCCCAAGGTCATATAATATCCATAGAATTAACCACGGGAGACACATATCGAGGCAAACTTCTCGAAAATGAAGATAATATGAATCTATCATTATATGATGTCGTTATAACTAAGGGAAGAACTGGCGAAACTTCATATATGAATCAAGTATTTGTCAGAGGATCAATGATTAGATTTATTAGTGTGCCTGATATTTTAAAGAATGCGCCTATGTTTTTTATGAAACCGGGTGATAAACCAAAACCACCAATTAGGGGCCCTCCTCCAAAACGATCAAGGCAGTACTAGAGAGAGGATAGAAGACGAGTGTTGATTCAGTTCTGAGTAGTGTATATTTAAAATTAATTTATATAAACGATGTATAGATAACCTTAAAACAAACATAGTGTAAAATAGAGGAAGACTTATACCATAGTGACTAATTCTTCAGCAGATGTAGGATGAATAGCTACACAATTATCAAAATCTTTCTTAGTAGCACCCATCTTAATAGCAACACCGAATCCTTGTAAGATTTCAGCACTATAATCACCAACCATATGTAATCCGACGACCTTTTCATCAGGACCGGCACAAATTATCTTATATCCAGTTGGAGCCTTATCATGATCACTATCCATCATAGCATAATACATTCCTGTGAATTTTGAACTATATACTTTGATATTTTCTTCACCATATTTTTCAATTGCTTTCTTGGTAGATAATCCAATTGAACCAGCTTCAGGATGAGAAAAGATTGCTGATGGGATATTTTCATAATCTAATTTATCTTTAGCAAATTCAGGTCCACCAAATAATCGATTAGATAATTTTCTACCAGCGGCAATTGCCACTGGAGTTAATTCAGCTTGGGCAATCACGTCACCAAGAGAAAAGATCTTGGGGTTAGTAGTGACTTGATATTCATCGGTAATGATTTTATGTTTATGATCAATTTCAACTCCGACTTTTTCTAATCCAATATCAATCAATGCATGTCTACCTACTGTCCAAACTAATTCATCAACTTCCAATTCAGTACCATTACCTAATACAACCTTCTTTCTACCATTTTCGGAAGGTCCACAACTGACAACCCCACCTGATTTTTTATGAATATTAATACCTAATTTATTTTCATAATGGTCAGTGATTGTATTTTGGATCAAATCATCAAATGAACGTAAGACAGTTTCACCTCTAATAATGAAATGAACTTCACTTCCAAAACTACTGAAAATACCAGATAATTCAACTCCAATATATCCAGCACCAACAACAGCAACTGTTTTAGGTTGTTGTTCTAATTCAAAGAATCCATCAGAAGTAATACCTAAATCACATCCACCAATTTGTGGTGGAACAATAGGAGCACCACCAGTGGCAATTAAAACTTTGTCAGCTGCGAAAACCAATTTCTCATCCTTTTTATAAGTCTTGTCACCACCCAAGAATTCAATCTCTTGATCAGCACTCAAAGTAACTTCAACATCAGCATCAGAATTAATAAATTTCCCAAATCCATACAAAAAATCAACCTTTTCTCTTCTTAAATTATTTTCATAAATCCCATTCAATCTCTTCACATAAGCATCTCTTTTTTCTTTAATCCCCTTCCATTCAAAATCCCCATGATTAGTCTCTTGAACCTCAGCCGATAATCCATATGCTTTCAATTGATGTTTCTTATGGGCCAAATCAGCAGCATACCACATGACTTTCTTAGGCACACATCCGACATTAACACAAGTCCCTCCAAGTTTCTTATATTTGGATTCGACTAAGAGGACTTTTGCCCCATATTTGGCGGCACGACGGGCGGAGGCAACACCACCTGATCCGCCACCGATAACGAGATAGTCATATTTGGCGATTGGAGTTTGTTGTTGTTGGGCAATTGTTGGGGTCATTGAGAATTGTCTGGCTATGAATGATAATCTATTGTTGATAATTGAGTAGTAGTTATGAGTTCTTATTTACAAATTACCAAATTTGTAACCGTTCTTTCTTGAGAAATACCCCTTCTTAGTTAGTATTTAAACTAAAAAAAATTAATAATCAAAATGAAAAATTCGTTTGAGTCAATCAATCAATCAATTACGGCGTAAACGGAAAATTCTATTTTTTCTTTGTCGCATCTCTTTCCTAAGGGGGTCGTAAGGTTAAGACATGATACCACCGGCCGAGACAAGAGATTATTGACTTCTGAAATTTTTAAATTTCTGGTTTATTACAAATGTGTCANCTTTCCTAAGGGGGTCGTAAGGTTAAGACATGATACCACCGGCCGAGACAAGAGAATTATTGACTCCTGAAATTTTTGATTTCTTGTTTATTGTCTATGTGTCAATTTGACACATCAAACCCCGTGAATCGGAGTGTGTCATCCGCTTGTTCTGTTTCTTCTTCTAGAAGGCCAAAAGAACAATTAGCTGATCGGTAAGCCAAATTCGCTTTAGATCTTATTTAGATGCGAATATTTATGTCTTTTCTATCCCGGAGATACGAACTTTATTTCTAGACCTATGCAACGTATACACACATGACTACTCTTGTTTAATATACTTTCTCAATTGTCCCACAGTAAACTCTATCAATTCCTTATCCATATCCCCATTCCCGAGATCTTCATCACCATGTTCATCCATTCTATGATCAATAATATCTTCACTATCAAAACTAAACTCTCGATATTCTTCATCATCTTTACTATCAGTTATTATTCCTTCATATTGATTAATATTTCGATCATATATCCTATCCAATCTCCTTCTCATCATCTCTTGAACCCTATCAAGATCGAATTCATTATTATTGGTCAGATCTTCAATTGACTGAGAATTTCGTCTTCTGGTATTATACTTCGATGTCATCGAATTGTTATCCGATGATGATGTTACTCCTTTAAAATTCTGCATCATCTCTTCTTGAATCTGAATAAACGCCTTATTCTCCTCAATCAAAGCCGACATCTCCTCTTTATCCTCATTCATACATCTCTGAACACTAGACAAACTATCAATCGGAGAATAATGAGAATTATTAGTCACATATTCTAGATTTAATAAATTTCCATATCCAAATAATCTCGATAATAATTCTTTCTTTTGAGAAATTTGTAATTTTCGTTTATTCCCCATATTTGAAGTCAGTAGTTGTTGATGTTGCATATAGATTCTCTCTTGCTTTGTCATTATTTTACGTTTATATTCAAGTAATTTCTTTCGTTCTTCACGGTCGGGGTCATGGGTTTCATATTGATGTTTCGGGAGTTGTTGGGTTTGTTTATAGGATGATACCAAGATATTGATTTCTCCTTTTGTATATCCTGGAATTGATATTATTGGATTGGTATTAGTATCTTCATTTTCAGGTTCACTTTCTTCAAATTCAGATTCACTGGAGTTGATATTATTATTTCCAAAGATGATATTATGCGATACTCTTTCTGCCGATTCCCATGCTCTAATCTGTGATTCCTTGATTGGAGGAGGTAATCCTCCCCCTTGCATTTCTAGATCTGGAGGATGTTGGGTAAACACTGAATAATCATATGCATTCATATTTGCCGGTTTTCGTAACACAAACATCGATTTATTACTTGATGTATTATTCGAAGGTAAGAGTTAAACTTCTAGAAATTTAAGTAATAAATATATTACAAAGTCCCTAAGTTGCAAATTCAATAATTTCGTCTTGATCAATCTTCCATTCTTTGTCTTCTGTGCAGCATTGGAAGTAGATGTTGACTTCTTCTTCAGTGTCGCATGAGATTGTTGATGTTTCTGTCGTTGGAATCGTTTGGTATTACTCGGTGTACTGATTGTTGAAGAAGAACTTATGGTTCTTGTGGTATGCGCAAATGAAGTATCATTAGGATTTAGAAACATTGATGTATTACTTGCAGGAAGTTGAATTGTTCCTGTGGATGTATCTATAGAAGATACCCTGTAACTATGAGCAGCATGGGGGTTGTGATATTGATGCTGATGCTGATGATATCCATGTTGTTGTTGTTGTCCTTGAGATGGTATATTTGTGAATTTAGGTAAATTATATCTTGACGATATATTATTGGTTGTATTATTATTATTGTTAGTTGCTGATGAATTCATTTGATTTTATTTCATGTGACTTGTGTGTGTATGAATGTAAAATGTTTTCGATATAGCTAGTAGTAAAACAATGGGGTAATTAAATGTGGAGATGTTGAATATGTGTTAGTTGTACTAAATTACATAACCCAAAGGTGAAACGGCTGTACCAATTATCCTCCATAAATCTGAAGGATTAATCCTTCATTAATTGTGAAGGTGAGCATCATTACCAAGACATTTCTGTATACATAACAAAATAAACATTTGAGTTCCCTCTCACAGTCATTAGCAACAGAAAAAAGATTTATGGAGAACAAGAATTATGAGAAATTTGGTCACGTGGTAAACGAATGAAATTAGGGTTGTAACCCTCAAACAACATACGTCAGTGATTATTATTAACAAAAAGCGTGTGATTTATTCACATCAGCGCATTTTAATGATGAGCCGCACACACTCAGTCCATCTACTAACAAAATCCTTTCTCTATTGTATGGAACCCTCACAGTGAGTTTTGCTTACTGCGAGAAAAAAAAGGTTTTAAAATTTTTTTCAATTTTGAAAATCTTTACAGGTGTTTAAGATATTAGGACAACATACAAGATGGCTACCGAATTAACCGTTCAATCTGAAAGAGCTTTCCAAAAGGTTTGTAGATATACATCATGAACTATACAGAAAAGGAATGAATGAAAGTGTTAAGTGCTCGAGTTAGTTGTGGGAGGACAGTGATGGAGATATTTATTGAAAAATTTTGGATATTGAAGAGCATAGAGAGAAACATATCAAATCAAATTCTACTACAAATTATTACAGGAATAGAATGCTACTTCAGTACTAGAGAAGAAATATTCAGAGAACTTGATCAACTAGAAATGTAAGAGGATTTATAAGAAATGACATAGTAATACTATATTCAATGAGGATCAACGTATTATTCATACTACCATAAGACCCGTCTCAACTATAGATATCATTTGTTCAGAACTCGTTATATCAAACTCAACGTCAAGTCATAAACAAAACAGTCCATATCACTCCCCATCATCTGACAACTCTTACTTTCATACATTATTTTCTTTAATACATAGGAACCCTTTTTACTAACAATCATTATAGCAACCACACATCTTCACTAACCCAAAGGCCAAGGCCAACAGAAAGACCAAGAGATGGTACAAGGATGTTGGTTTAGGTTTCAAGACCCCAAAGGCCGCCATTGAAGGTTCTTATATTGACAAGAAGTGTCCATTTGTCGGTACTGTTTCTATCAGAGGTAAGATCTTAACCGGTACTGTTGTTTCCACCAAGATGCACAGAACTATCATCATTAGAAGAGATTACTTACATTATGTTCCAAAATATAACAGATATGAAAAGAGACACAAGAATGTTGCTGCTCACATCTCCCCAGCTTTCCGTGTTTCTGAAGGTGATGTTGTTACTGTTGGTCAATGTAGACCAATCTCTAAGACTGTTAGATTCAACGTCTTAAAGGTTGCTGCTGCCGCTTCTAAATCTAAGAAGTTCTCCAAATTCTAAAGAGAAGGAATAAAATTAGTTTAGCCAATATAAATATATAGTAAATAATTTGTGGGTAATTTATTCTTTTTTAATGTTACATTAGTTCTTATAAGTTAAAGTAAGTATGAAGTCATACATAACACATGTTTGTAATAATAGGAATCGTCTTTATATTTAGTATACACAGTCTGACAACTACACAGCTATAAACTGCCTAAGCATTTGAAGGAGCATCTTTCTTTGTTACTTGCAATCTTCCTTCACCCCATTCAACCAATAAATTAATCAATTCACCATCTTTAGCAAACTTGGCAAAATCATCACTTCCACCTCTACTTTCTAAAGTCTTACCAACTAATACATTAGGCACGGTTCCTCTACCTGTTTTCTCCTTTAAATAAGCTTGTAATTCAGGACCATGCTCATGTTTATCTAATTCAACAATATTGAATTGTGGAGTGAATTCATAAGTTTGAAGTAATTCTTTAAGTCTTGCAGAAAATGGACAGAAAGTTTTTGAAAATACAGTCATGGGAGATAAGGATCTTATATCGATTAAATCCTTTTCTGGATCATATGCCCCGTTATCTGCAGCAGGATTGTCGTTCTTGGCTCCTGTTGATCCTCCTTGTTTTGAGGATTGAACTTCTTGATTTATCTTTTGATTAATTTCTTCATCTGCTTTATCATCATTGGCAGAATCAATTATTTTATTAGAAATATCAACATTATTATTATTATTGTTGTTGTTGTTGTTGGTTGTTGGTTTCTTTAATTCTGCTGGATTATGAGCTGCATGCTTATTACCTATTTGGTCAGATGCTTGAGCATGTACCATAGCAGCAGCATTTTGTCCTGTACGATGTAATATAAACACTAAGACAAATACAAGGGCTGTAAGTCCAATAATTTTTATTTGTCTAATTCCAGCCATGCTGCTTTATTATTCCTTTATGTGTCTATGAAGATGAGTATAATTTAAGTTTGTATAGAATCTCTGTCAATCAACTGTTCTGTTCTCTGTAAAGATCAAAGGGTGAAGTTTTGATTGATGTCTAATTTAGGAAAAATATGTTAAAAGAAAATTTCTGGTCAAAGAAAAAAGCAACTTGCTGTACAAAATTATTTTTTATTGATTTCAGTCACGCGCCTTTCTCTCTCCAGATTGATCTTCCTCCAGCCATACAATACAATAGACTAACTATACAATACAATAGATTTTGACTCTGACTCTACTCTCTAATATACAACATGACTACGGCTACCTCCAACAATAAACCTCATAACAAGTTTCACAAGTTTTTGGTATGACAAAATCACTTTGCTTCTTCCTCATCTTTTTCTTCTCACTATAACTTCCATATTGAATTCTATCAAATTCTCTCTTTAAGATTATACAATTTAAACATATTGGATATAAAGTAGAATTCATAAAAGTAGCCAAATTATATCCATTATTAATCATTCCATTTACTTCTTCTTTATTATAACTTAATTGAAACGTTGAAGTATTGGCTGCAAAACTATAATTATAATTACTATAATAAACAACTACTGGAGGTAATTCCATTTCTTTATATAATGATCCAGTGACTACTGGTTCCAATGTCTCATAATCTCTCAAAATATCACATCCAAGAAATAATGGTCTCCCAACTAATCCATCTCTTACTATCTCTTCCAGGGTAGGAACTCTGGGGAATATGGATTTTATAATTGAAGTATTTGGAACTTGAAAATATTGGATTCCAACATGAGTATTATTCAATTGGTTATATCGATTTGATGTCTTTTGTAATACGGTTCCATTAGGGAAATTATCCCTCTCACAACTCATATCAAATGCAATTATTATATCCACTTTTCTAGCCGATCTTAAAAATGGTTGAAATGGGATATTTTGTCCATCATCTCCTCCATCAACTAAATATAAATCAGAACTTTCAGCAATTGTACTTGATGAATCACCGCTAATAAATTGATAAAATGGATTTGGCGAATATAAAGCATAATCAGGATGTAGTTGTGGACTCTTGAGTGATTTCCATTCTGAACTTAATCCAAATGATTTTAATATACTTTCAATGGCCAATGTAGTCTCCAGTTGAAAATTATTTAATAGTTTATAAACATATACAAAGATATGATTAAACAATGAACTTGATGTCCCAGTTATAAACCCAACATTATCAAACCCTGACGTACAATAACTATAATTTTCATTATCGGTCTTATGTATTGATTTCCCATTATTTAAATGTGATCCAAGGTATTTTATCGGTACGAAAGCATTCAAATATGAATCCCAAGATCCAAATTCATATGGAGTAAATTCAAACACATGAGAATCCAAACTACTTGTCTCCAGTTGTCCAGGATCTTTCTCCACCGTTCCAATTATGGGGAATGGTTGTTCATAATTCAAAAATGATCCAAGTGATTCAGTCGCGGCGGTGATTGTAACCCCAGGTGTTCGGGCTTGTGATGTAAATATCCTTCTGGCTAATGCTCGACCCCAATAATCAGTTAGACTAGTATGATACCCTGCTCGTTTCTTGTCCTTGACTTCTATAAGTAATTCTTTATAAAACTTTAAATATTCTTTCAATGCAATTTCTTTGTTCAGATTATTAGTAGCATTCCAAGCAGCACTTCCTTTTGGTTTTGAGAATAAATTCCTCACCCAGGTATACAACAACGTACTATCCTCTTCTTCTATCCCACCATCTTTGACTTGTTCAGATATGGGTATAGTCAGATTTGTTTTCCCAAAACTAAAAAACCTAAGAATATTCCCAAAAATTCCCCCCTGTTGTTGTTTTTGTTCCTTCCTCTTTATCCCAGTTTCATTACTTATCGTCAGCTTCTCCAGAATATGTCGCTGAACATCCCCCGGATCAAAATTCGGCACCCCCAGCAACAACAGATCCTGCAAATTCCATCCATCATTCCTACTATTCACAAGCCCATGAATCGGCACGAAATCATTCACGAAATTACTCATAACCAACCAACTCCCGCCCGATATCCCACCAATATATGTCGAAGCTTGCAAGATCCCACCTAAGGGAGACAGATCTGGATTTCGACAATCTAATGACGATAATATCCCGGCTCCGGATAACATTGATCGATATCCCCCACCTGAGAAGGCAAGTGCTATAATTGTTGGTTTTGATTTATTGGAAAAGAAGGATTCGATGTCGAATTTGGGAATTTTGTTGTGATACAATAGTGATTTTAGAAATGGTTCTGTTTTTAGGTTTCGATTGGAGATGTAGGTTTGTTCTTCCTTACAGAGGGTCTAGGGACAATTTGTTAGTAGTTGATTATAATCGAAGATGGTAATTGGGTGGTGTACGTACTTCATTCGCTTGTCTTATTAGTGAATGAGATGGACATAGTACTGAATATGGTGCATATGATAGATTCCACATTCGTGGTTCAATTTGTTGACTGAAATTTTTATATAATAATTTATTAGAATCCATATTTGAATGTTTTGAAGATTGAATGGTTGAAGATAGTAGAGCTATACTTTCACATAGAGTCAATACTGTTAGTAGCTGTAGTAGTAATCTATGAATCACCATAGTATTGTGGTTGTTTGTTTTGGTTGCAAAAAGTTGAAGTAAAGTTCGCGGCTAAATATAAAATGCAGTAAACCTCAATTGAAAAGTAAATATATAAATTTTTATTAATATTAAAACATACAAATAATTACTATTTAGAATAAAAAAAAGTAAAAGAGTAAGTAAAAATGACAAATGAATAAATGAAGAAAATGATGATTTAACTAATAAAAGTCTAGCTTATTTAGAAATCTTCTTCATCAGATGAAACATAAGCATCACCCATTTCCTTCTTCTTCTTCATTCTTTCCTTCTTCTTCTTTCTTAATTCAGCAGAAGATAACTTCTTCTTCTTCTTACCACCAGCAATCTTGTTACCCATGGCATCAAACTTATCTTCTTCATCTTCCTTTTCGGTAATTCTTGGACCAGCACCTTGACCTTGAACCCAGTTATGACCAGATGGAGTCATTCTACCATCAAGAACAGCCCAAACTTCTTCAGTCAAATCCTTGGTGAATTCAGCAGAATGGGTAATGATAACAATACCACCTTCGAAAGCCTTCAAAGCCTTAGATAAAGCACCTAAAGAGTCTCTATCCAAATAATTGGTTGGTTCATCCAAAACAATTAAATGAGGTCTTTGCCAAGTACAAGCAGCTAAAACTAATTTAACCTTTTGACCACCAGATAAACCTCTAATTCTAGAATGGGAAACTAATTCAGCTTCAAGACCCAACATGGCACAGTGTTCTTCAATTTCCTTTCTGGTTAATGGTCTGAATTGACCAGAAGCTAAAGCTTCCTTCATATCAACTTCAGCAACTAACTTAGAGTGGGTTTCCATTAATTCACCTCTTGGTAACCAAGTGTTGTCAACAGACATCATTGGAACCCATCTTTCATTCTTCATACCGACATTTTCACCCAACATCCAAGAAATTTCATATTCATAAGAGTTCTTGAACTTTCTTCTAGCATGAATACCTTGGATTCTTCTTGGAGTACCTTCAACCTTAAAGATCTTGTTCATGTTTTGTTCATCGGATTCGTTAATTTGTCTAGAAGCTCTATCCATGGTTTCTCTATCTTCACCGGTTTGGAATCTCCATTGGATATATTCAGATGGAGTTTTGTCTAAATGGTTATCAATATGGGCAAAAGCATGTTGTTTAATGTAAGCAATACGAGCATTTTCATGAACGTAAACTTCACCTTCAGTTGGTAATAATTCACCAGTTAAGACATTAATCAAGGTAGATTTACCAGCACCATTTGGACCAATAACGGCAATTCTGGAAGATAAAGAACATTGGAAGTTAATATCTTGAATTTGTGGCTTGGTAGTACCTGGATATTGGAAAGTCATGTTGGAAACCTTGACAATAGCCTTTTGTTTAGTCTTAACACCTTCTAAGAAACCTGGTTCCGGGAATCTAAATTCTAAATCAGAAGCACCTAATTCATAATAAGATTGAGCAGATGGACATTTCTTAACGAATTCAGATAAGTTACCCTTGTATTTTCTCAACTTGAAACCTTCATAATGGATAATGTATTGACAGACGTTATCTAAGAAACCGGAATCATGGGAAACAATAATGGAAGTAATACCACAGGTTTGTAAGTAATTGACTAACCAAGCAACATTAACGGTATCCAAATGGTTAGTTGGTTCATCTAATAATAAGATATCAGCATTCTTTAAGACAGCTCTAGCTAAAGCTAACTTCATCTTCCAACCACCAGATAAGGAAGAAATTGGCATAGCAATCATTTCATCGGAGAAAGAGAATTCAGTTAATTTAGCACGAACAATATCCTTGGTTAAACCAACTTCACCATCTTCAATAACGAAATCAACAACAGAAGTATCAGCTTGAGTAGCATCAATATCATGTTCAACATAAACTGTTTTACATTCTTCTTGAGTTGGGAAACCTTCAACTTGACCATTAGCAATAGCTCTCATTAAAGTAGATTTACCAGCACCATTTGGACCACATAAACCATATCTTCTGTTTCTCTTTAATCTGAATTGAGTCTTGTTTAATAAGATCTTGGCACCATAAGCTAAGGAGAACTCACAGTTACATAAATCTTCACCTTCATCTTCTTCATCTTCAAAAGATGGTGGTTCTGGGATGTTATCAATAGCTCTCTTTCTGAATTCTTCAATAAGATCCTTAGATTCATTTTCATGTAAGAAAATAGTAGCAAATGGTAAGATGTTGTGTAACCATGCTTCTGGTTGGATTTCTCTTTCATCAATTAAATCACCGGCAATAGCAGCAATATAAGTCTTGGCAACATCGAATCTAGAAGCAATATTTTTACCTTCTAATAATTTGTCGAATTCACCTAAAGTAACAGAGATATCACCAGCAGTAGAAACTTCTGGAATCTTGTCATCAGCACCAACGGCACCAACTCTCTTCAAGGTGTTTAAAGCTCTGTTGGTAACTTCTCTAGCTTCTGGATCAGCCATGGTGGAGAAGTTAGCCTTTAAAGCTGGTAATAAGGTGTCCAAGAAAGGAGCAACAACTTGTGGGTCATCGACTAACTTACACATATTGTCAACAATAACAGCAGCCTTACGCTTGATGGCAGTATCTCTTTCAGCTAAACCTCTAGATAATAATGGAGCCATGATAGATAAAGTAGCCATAGTAACTTCGGAAACAAAAGTGGTAGCACCTAATAAATGAACGGTTTCTGGAACTTCAGTTGGTTTAGCAATACATTCAATTAACTTTGGAATAAACTTTTCAATATCCTTGTTATCGATGGTTTCGGTGGATTTAGTCATGGTGGCAGTAGCAGCTTCCTTAACTTCCTTCTTGGTATCCCACATAGCTTCAGATAAGACTGGAATTAATTCAGGCATTCTTAAAGCAATTTGATCCTTAGCAGTGTCAACTAATTGAGAAACAGCCTTTAAGATAGCAACCTTTTCAGTCCATTTGTTAGAGTTAACCAAGTTATCTAAAATCTTTGGTAAGATAACCTTGATAGCAGTTGGAGTGACAGCAGAAGCAATTGCTAATAAAGCATCGGAAGCAGCGGCGTGGATATCCTTGTTCTTGTCACCAGCTCTGGTAGCAACTTCAGTAACTAATTCAACAACATATGGTTCAACAGATGGAGATAAAGCATTTGAAGAGGAGATGTGCTTGTAAGCATCTAAAGCAGCAATGGTGGTAGCGGTATCCTTAGATTTAAGTTGCTTCTTTAAATCTTCAAAGAATTCAACTGGAACATCATGTTCAACAATTGAAGAATTCAAAAATGAAGAAATGTTGGCAGCAGCAACATCCTTATCTTCAGCAATTTGTAATTTGCTTAATAATTCGGAAAGAACTTCTGTAGAGTATTTAGATTCACTAGCAGGTCGTCTGTAAAATAAAAGGTTTGACAACAAAGAATTGCTTCTTTTCTTCTTCTTGAAGAAGAAAGAAGAAGAGAACCAAAAAAAAAGTGAGAGAAATCAATTGGTATATAAATTAAGTGAAAAATTTTTTTTTTGGGTGATGATGGAATTTTTTTTTTTTTGCATAAATTATTTTTTAACAGCAAAAAAAAAAAGAAATATTTTTATTTTTCGACACTTTCTTGAAATGTCGCAACTCATCTCATAGAACAATTAAATTATGTCGTGCGGCATAACCGTTTCTTCCCAATTAGGAGACCTTTTTGGTAAATGACATACCAATTAACCATGTGTCATTCTCATGATTACATTGACAACCCACGCCAGTACCCGAAAATGCGACATTTATCAATAAGTTACCCGCCATTCTTTTCCATTCCATCCATTAAAAAAGAAAATCAAATATGAGAGAAAACTTTTCACCCCTTTGCATGAAAGAATGATCAAACTATAAGGGCAGTGGAGAAGAGATTCGAAGAACTCAATTACGAGAAATAAATTCAATTTCAATCTTTTTGTAGTCAATTGCAATTGATTCAATTGAAGTGGTACTTATGTACCAATTGAGTACACGCATTGCTTGAGCTCGGATGTGTTATTTACAATGCCGCGTCAGATAACGAATCATGTGTTGCGTTATCAAAAAAAAAAAAATGGTAACACGTTGTAAAAATTACAAAATTCTGCTTGGCTAGAAAACGGTCTCTCTGTCTCCTAACAAAAAAAATTTTCACCTTGGATTTTTCAGGAATTTTTTTTATTACGTAATAAAAATTTCACGTGATCTGGTTGGGTTGCTAAAACATACCCGCTAATGATGGATCAGCTATATGTAATTCGACTTTCAACGTATTTTGATAGTTTAGAGCACTTTACACTGGCAAAGACTTTAATTATATGATCACGTGGAATCCATAGAGCATGATGTCCAAGTGTTGTATTCTCAAAGGTTTTATATTCATACTATTACTTTTGAGTGATTTTTTGATAATTTGGTGGCAAAAAAATGACTGAACGTCAGAAATTTGGAGTGCTCATGTTTTAATAATGTTATTTCCCTCTTCAATACATGGACAAGCCACACCCTTAACTTCTATGCTTAATTATCCTGGCAAGAATGGGTCTGTGTTGGTCTATGTGAGGTCTAGATTATTTATGTTTTTTTCTTTGTGTTTGTTTCAAAATGACTAGGAAATTTTGCAGCTTATTTAAACGCCCAGATTGCGAAAAAATGAGAAAAACTTCATTTGTTTCATCTTTATTGTTCACAAAGAAATCTACCGCCCAAATAATTTATTCATTCAATAATCTTCCTTAATCTCATCAATCAAGTAAAGTTAGTTGGATCATCGAATGTTCAAAGAAGTAATTTTGGTGTGAAGGTATTAGAAGGATATGAAATCTATTTGAAGCAATTAAAAATTAAACCACAGAAATCAAAATCAACCACAGAAACGAAATTGAAACATCTTCCAACGACAATCATCTATCCAATATTGCTACCCATTTATCAACAAGCCATGTTACTAGTACACATTGAAGTGGGGTTTTTATCCTTGTGGATCCCTGAGTTCAGTTTCTTCTGTTTTCCTTTCCAATTCCAGTTCTTGTTCAGTTTTAAAATCTTCCTAAAAAAAATCATGGAAATGAAGATGGTACAATTTAGTGAAAGTTTGACTGGATTTCCATGGATCTGTGTAATGCCCTCATATTTAATTAGCCACCTGACCAATGGTTAGTTCTTGTGATGGGTCTTTAATCTGATTTCAAGGGATGAAGGTTTTGCTTGATCTAAGTTGGCCATCCGGGGGGATTAGAGTTTCCATTCATTGTCTATCCACCGCTTTTCAACTATCTTTCAACTACCTTTCAACTATCTTTCAACTACCTTTCAACTACCTTTTAACTTTCAATACCTTTCAGCTTTCAATACCTTTCAACTACCTTTGAACTACCTGTCAACCACCTTTCCAACTACCTTTCAACCACATTTCAACCATCCATATATTAAATCATAAAATCATGGAAAATGAAGAGTTGGTAATGATACAATTTGGAAAGGGTATGACTGTATTTCCATGAATCAGTGTAATCCCTTCATACTGAATTAGCCACCTGACCAATGGCTAGTTTGTGTGATGGGATTTTAATCCGATTTCAGGGGATGAAGGTTTTACCTGATCTGGGTTGGTCATCTGGGGGGATTAATATTTCCATTCATTCTATATCAACTACCTGTCAACCACCTTTCAAGTACCTTTCAACTACCTTTCAACTGCAACTTTCAACTATCTTTCAGCTACCTGTCAACTACCTATCAACTACTTTCAACTACCTTTCACGATGGAAAGCTGGTGAAAAGTTGGTAAGTATATTGTTTAGTACTTTTTGAGTAACAAATGAACAATTGATGACACACCCTGCAAAGAGTTTGACTGGATTTTCATGGATCCGATAGAATCCCTTCATACTGAATTATCCACCTGACCAAAGGTTAGTTCGTGCGAAGGGGTTTTAAATCTGACCTCAAGTAAAGAAAGTTTTTACTTAATCTAGGTTGGTCATCTGGGCGGATTAAACATTCCATTCATTCTGAATCAACCACTTAGAGAATGGTTTATATAGATATGTATGTTGCCAGGGGATCTGCAAGGGGGGAGGCTGGGGGGGTTGCAGAAAAGTGGAGTCCTACACTGTTAACTCGTGCGTAAATTCCTTCTCTTTAATTGTAGTAGTCTCCTGTGATGATCAAGTTCTGCTAGATTTGAATGTATCTCCACCGAATAGTTTGATGTAATGTTACAAGCAAAAGCCTTTATCCACAAATATTTCTTTAAAGATTCCTATTCCAAAATAGCATATGGACCTAGCCGAGATGAGAAATGGTTTTTAATTAAGCTTTATGTTTCGGAAAGAAGCTTTTCAGCTATCGAGCTTCTGATTTAAGTTGATACACCATGTATTCGAAAGAAGCATTCAAGTTGTGTACTATATAGAAAATAGCATATCCCTATATTGTTATAGGAGTTCGCCTAACCATTTCATTAAAAATGATCCGCCCGAAACAACCTTGATCTACATGTACTTATATTAGACTTACATATGTCTAACTATTATATTTATGAAATATGATTCCGCCAACAAACTCTAATCACATAGTACTTTGAATGTAAGTTGTCTTGGCAAGTGCCCTGGGATGTCCCTGCGTGAACGTTGGGAAGTACCTAAAAAGGCATATCTGCCACAACCATAATTACTATACATGTTGATATAGTTTAATTGTAACCACTAACTCATTCTATAGAATGTAAATATCTAAGAAAATGAAAATAGTACCGAAACAAACTAACCCACTATAAATAATGTACGTTTTCATGAATAACAAAAATAATTTAGACGAGGAAGTTTAAAAACTACAGTCCTTCTCTAAAAGATACTACACAAGATTCTATTTGACATACGCAGAGTTATACATTAAATTATAGACAGATTCTATTGGTCTAATTACAATATCTTCTACAGATTCATAGTAATTACATACCAAGAAAACAAGAAAGAAGAAGTTTCATTAAATTGTGAATTTGTTGTTCCCCTACTTGTCCCTTCCCTTCTTTTTTTTTACAACCAAACTTTAAAAATTAAATTTCAATTCGTTTGATTTTTCCCATACAAAATTGAAACAATTCATAAACAAAGTCATTGTATAATTTTTTAATTAATTAACCTTTTTAAGATTAAATTGATTTAACAAACTTTTTTATAAAAACTGTCAATCGTTTTTTACCACAGCAACTGTCTTTGCATTCTATAAATATAAATAATAATATTTGTCTAAAATCAAATCGTTGTTTTTTTTACTTTGATTGGTAGTAAGGGAAACTGGAAAGTAATGACAAACGATAAAGAAACAAGATACGATAGACAATTAAGATTATGGGCATCAAGTGGTCAATCAAAATTAGAAGATTCTCATGTTTGTTTAATTAATGCAACACCAACAGGATCAGAAACTTTAAAGAATTTAATCTTACCAGGAATTGGTGAATATACAATTATTGATAATAAATTAGTAACTTCAACTGATTTATCAAGTAATTTCTTTCTTAAGAAACCTGATTTAAATTGTTATTTATCATGTGCTATACTGAATAATTTAAATGAATTAAATCAAGAAGTTAAAGGTCATGCTATAACAAGTTCAATTGAAGATATTTTGATTAATGAATCTGAATCATATTGGGAGAAATTTAATATTGTAATTATAAGTGATTATTTACCAAGTTTAAGAAAATTAATTGAAATTCTTTGGTCCCGGCAAATTCCTATATTAATTATAAATTCAATTGGTTATTATGGTTCTTTAAATATTTTGACTAATGAAATTACTGTAATTGAAACTCATGATCCTTCAAAATTATTTGATTTAAGAATAGATAAACCATGGCCTGAATTACAACAATTTGCTGATTCATTTGATTTAGATAAATTAAATGATGCTGAACATTCTCATGTTCCTTATATTGTCATATTTATAAAAGCATTAGATAAATGGAAATCACTTCATAATGGTCAACCTCCTTTGACTTATGCTGATAAAAAATTATTTAAAAGTTATATTGAATCAATGTCAAGAAATATACAATTAGAAACAAATTTCATGGAAGCTGCAAACTCATATCATCGTGCATGTCAAAAGACAGAAATTCCTGATTCAATAAATGCATTATTTATAAAATCAAAAGAAAGAGGTCTAGCTAATGATACTCCTATATTTTGGATATATATTGCTGCATTAGAAAATTTCGTAACTAAAAACAATCAACAATTACCTTTGGCTGGAAGTTTACCTGATATGGCCCTGGATACCAAAAATTATATTAATTTACAAAATATATATCGTACAAAGGCATTAAAAGATCAAAAATTATTTACAGAAGAAGTTCATGGGATTTTAGAATCAATTGGAAGAAATCCCACCGATATCCCAAATGAATCAATAGCCGTATTTTGTAAAAATGTTCAATTATTATTTGTAACTATTGGATCAAGAAAATTGGTAGATACTCAATTAATTGAAAAATTGTATCAAGAATCTGATGATTCAGATGAATATAATACCCTAGCTATTTATTTTGCCATACTTACATTTAATATTTTTGTTGGACAAAATGGTCGTAATCCAACTATTGAAGATCTAGATTCATTTATAAAGATATTTGGTCAAAATTTTTCAAGTAGACCAATACTGTTGTCAATTGCAAATTCATTCAAAGAAATATTGGCTCATAATACAAGAAATTATCATAATTTATGTAGTTTAATGGGTGGAGTTGCTAGTCAAGAAGTATTGAAATTAACTACTTCTCAATATATCCCATTGGACAATTTATTTGTATTTGATGGAATAAGATCAAGTAGTGAACGGTATAAAATAGGTTCTCTTAATTAGAATCAATCCTAAAAAGTTTATTGCTATAATGCTAGAATTACCTTTATATATATATATTCGCTTATAATCCTTCAAAAGACCCTTGCAAACTTCCACTATTGTTCTTTTTCTTTTTATTCTTTCTAACTATATCCTTCCAATCTTCTACCGTTTGTTCATCTTCAGAAGATTCGTCCATGATTTGTTTCTCAATCAATTCTCTCTTTCTCTTCATCTTCTCCCTTCTTTCTTGTTTAGTCTCCTTCTTTTCCACTTTACTTGACCAAGCTTCATTTTTCACCTTCAATTCCTTCCTCCTCTTCGCGTCCAGAATCTTCCTCTCTCTATCTGCTTCCAAATTCTCCAACCTCGATTTCTCCTGTAATTTATCAGCATAAGCATACTTATCCATATCAATAACCTCTCCTAACCATCCATCTTCAGGCATATCCTCATTGGCAATATATCTCAGTTCCGGCATCTTTGGCAATCTCAATAATCCATACATCCTAGCCACACCTAAATAATCCAATGTTGACAATCTAAAAATAGAACTAGCTACATGTTTGGAATAATATCGAATAAATCCAACGTAGGATTTAATTCCCAAATCATGTCTTGCCCGATCTTCAAGCATATATTTCCTTAACTTAGTTTGTAATTCTCGATGATCGGAAGTCACATCAGGAGTGGTCATTTGTGAGAGGGAAACTCCTTTAATTTCCATGAATCCGATATAATCCTCCTCTTGACAATCTTGATTCAACATTACAATCGCCCTACCTACTCTGTTCGCCCTACCTGTCCTACCACATCTATGTAAGAATACATTTGGGTCAGTTGGTGGGTCGATTTGGATCACGAGATCAACGTCGGGGATATCGATACCTCGAGCAGCGACGTCGGTGGTCATGAGGATGAATTTATTGATGTTGGTGTCACCTTCAGCAAAGCTGGATAGGGTTTTCATTCTGGATTTGGTGGATAGTTGACCATGAAGGGAGAAGAATTTTAGGTTTTGATCGGCATGGAGAGTGTGGAAGATTGAATAGAAATGTTTGACTGATGTACAGGTTGGGAAATAGACTATTGATTTTTTGAATTGATAGTTGGATAATAGATGTAATAAGGTTGATATTTTACATTCTGGTTGGATCATCATATATGAAAGTTGTAAACTACTTGGAGCAATTTGATTCTCCCCCAACAAATTCTTGGATTTAACTGTCACTTTAACTGGATTATTCATCCCAGTTCTAAAAATATCCGCCCCGGCTGAACTTATCGTAGCTGAAAACAAACCGGTTCTACGCTGTTTAGGTAATCGTTTCAATATATTAATAACATCCTTCTCAAATGAAAAGTCCAACAATTTATCCGCTTCATCCAATATAACAATCTCAGTAGATTGTGTCTTCACATATTGTGATCCCAAAAAATCCAACATTCTCCCAGGTGTAGCAATTAATATCTGAGGTTGGTTTTTCAAAAAGAAATCCAAATCATCTCTAATAGTCCCCAATGAACCTCCACCTACCAACAATTGAGTCTTGATGGGGTTTTTTCCCTCGGGGAGAAATTCCAATACTTGATTGAAAACAGCTTGGATCTGACTCGCAAGTTCTCTAGTCGGACTCAAGACTACTGCCAACATATGTCCCCTCTTCACCGGTTCAGGTCCATCTTCTCCGTCTGAACTATACATCCGGTCGGAAACTTTTTGTAATACCGGGATTACGAATGCAAGTGTTTTTCCGGATCCTGTTACTGCTTCAACTACGACATCTTTGTTTCCACTGAGTAATGGGATGGTGGATGCTTGGACTGGGGTCATGGTGGGGAATCCGAGGGAGGAGATTGCTTCTTTGATCCATGGGTGGAGCGAGTATCGTATATTATCCCAAGAAAGGGATTCTGTCTTTGTTTTCATTGTGTATTGGGGTGTTAGTTGTTTGGAAGGAAAGAGTGATGAGATGAGATTGAATAATTTTATTTATTTTTTTGATTTGCGCGATGGGCGATTTTACGAAGAGGTTCAATTTTTTTCAACAATCTTTAAAGACGTCATTGGCAAGCAGATAGAGGATTATATGTTCAGACAACTTGTGTCAAGATCTTGGATAATGGTAAAAAGATCACTCTCATCAACATCTCCTGTTCCACCAGCCATGGCATCAATCGATTATTCATCATGGACAAAAGAACAACTAATCGCCAAAATCAACCAACTTGAATCCTCCACCACCACCACTACAGAACCGGCCCCTCCTACTAAGAAGCAAAAGCAAAAGAAGCGAGAATTCGATTGGAGCAAACACAACCAAAGATTCATCGCCTTAAGATTCGCCTACCTCGGTTGGAATTATAACGGATTAGCATATCAATATGAACCAACTGCATTACCGACCGTGGAGGAAACCTTGCTTGAAGCATTATCAAAATCAAAATTAATAAAAGAACCAAGTTTAGAATGTTGTAAATTTTCACGATGTGGTAGAACCGATAAAGGAGTCAGTGCCATGAATCAAGTCATTTCCCTAAATGTTAGATCTAACTTATCTCCTGAACAACAACAAGATGCTAACAATGATAAGGATGAATTGAATTATATGAGGATATTGAATTCCTTGTTGCCAATGGACATAAGAGTGACTGCGGTATGCTTGAGACCTCCCGAAAAGTTCGATGCCAGATTCAGTTGTAAGTATCGTCATTATCGATATATTTTCCAAAAACGAGATCTTGATATTGAAATCATGGACCAAGCAGCAAGATTATATGAAGGTGTTCATGATTTTAGAAATTTTTGTAAAATAGATGGATCAAAACAGATTACGAATTATGTTCGAGATATTCATCATTCAAGAATCATTCATTTAAAAGATGATTATTACTGTTTTGATCTAAAAGGGAGTGCATTCCTTTGGCATCAAGTTAGATGTATGGTTGCTATTCTATTCTTGGTTGCCCAGAAATTGGAATCAATACTGATAATTGAAGACTTAACTAATGTGGAGAAATTCCCCAGGAAACCTGTATATGAAATGGCAAATGAAGTTCCTTTGGTATTGTATGATTGTGAATATGAAGAAATGGAATGGATAAAATATAACAAAGATGCGGGTCGTTCATTTAGTTTATTGTTTAATAAATTCCCCAACTTGACATATGATACTCAAATTAAAAGTGAAATGACAAAAATTATGGAGCATTTTGTTTTGGAAGATGTGAAACCACCAATAGCCACTTTAGAAGGTGGAAGAATGCATCTTGGTGACGGTTTGGGACGGAATTATACGCAATATGTTCCATTATCAGAAAGACATCTTAATGACACATTTGAAGTGATTAATGAAAGACATAAAGAAAAGAAACGTAGGGCAAAGTCTGCTACAACAGAACAATCGCCAGAGTAGACCTGTATATTTGTAACCCTATGTATAAATGTATATATGTATTAATTAGATATCCAAGAAGGTTCCCAGAATTGATATTCCCCGTTTGGAGCTTGAGTATCAACCCATAGAAACCCATTCATAATCATTTCATCTAATTGACAAAATGTAGATTAAAATAGGGTTGGTATTAATAGAGAATTATTAGATATCGTAACATAACCACCCATAAATCCGCATAATTCATAAACCTTCTTTTGATCAATTGATAAATTATCACCAATTGCTGATGTATATTTTAACCATTTCTTATCATTTATAGTTAAGATTTCATATCCATTACCCAAAGTGTTTAACATTGACAATGATTGTTCAATATCATTTTGATTTATATCTATATGGACAGTATGAGTATCTTTAACAATTGATATTAGTTCCTTTAGAGAGATTAAACCACCATTTAAATCACGAGTCAGTTGACAAATTTCAATAATTCTAACTACAAGACCAACATAAAAATTCTCTCGTTTATTCTTCGATGTATATAATAACAATTCTAAAGGATCAATACCAATCAGTTGTGAAATTTGGGCAAATTTATTTCTAAATTCTCCATTCAGTTTAATTTCATCTCCATGTTCATTAGCAAAGTTGATTACAGCTGATTGGAATACTGATAGTTGAGTAGATAGTTGATCTATATGACGTTCATTAAGAGATCTTCCTAGTTGTGTATATGCATCTCTATCTTCCTGTCGATTCATTGTCTTATATTGTTAGCATTTGCCAATGACTTTTAATTCCCCGTGATAGATGTAAGTTGGTTGGTAGAGGTTAGAATCCCGCAAGAAATAAATCAAGCCGCACCCCAACAAAAAAAAACTAACAATATTACTTGCGCTACCAGTCCCTGGTCTTGGTTGGCAGTTTGCCCCACCTGTCCGATAAATTTTCATCTGATATTCTCTGGAAACTTTCTGGGGAAAAATGCAGATCGGGATGTTTTCTATGGGTTTGGATGTTCGCAGACCCCACGACTGTCTGCTGAAGTAACCTACGAGATGACATCCTCGCGAAGTTTGTATGAAACGCAATTATAAAAAAGGAAGACATTTCACACGAGAAAAGAAGTGTATGGTGGATGGTGGTTGTGGCGGTGGATGTCGGTGGAATCTGAATAATTATGCAATTTCAGTTATACAAATATCTCCATTATCCGTTATATTGAAATTGAAAGAATAACAAGAGGAAGGGAGCCCTAAATTGGTTAAAAAAAATTAAAATTATTCACGGCGGGAATGGAAACGAAAAATAAATTTAAAGCGGAGAAATTAAATGTATCCGGATTTATTCTAAACTCTTTATTTATACTGTGGATTATCCCTTCTTATAGACTTTCGTTTACACTCTTTTTAATACTAAGAATATACAACCAGAGGAAAGAACACACGCTATGACAACTGAAAATCCAAACTATAAACCAATTCCTCCAAGAGAAATTCAAGTTACTTTAGGTAAAGGAATATCAGCAACATTTGCAATTCCACGTGCATTTGATTCAAAAAACCCTTTCCAAGAAGGACTTCCTCCAGTAACTCATAAAGCAGCGTTAATCTTACATGGACAAGGAGGTCATAGAAATTATTGTTATCAAAAATTGATTGCTCATAGATTAGCTGCTGAATTAGGAATATTTTCACTTAGAATTGATTTTAGAGGATGTGGAGAATCTGCCGATAATGAAGATGAATTACAAGGAAGACAATTAAGTCAAGATGTTGAAGATATTCAAGCTTGTGCTGAATGGATCATGAATGGGAAATTAAACCCCCTTGGGATTCATTTAACTTTATCTACTGTCATTGCTCATTCTAGAGGTGCTGTAGCTATGTTTCTTTGGGCTCAAAAACAAGATGAATTAGTTAAACAAGGTAATCCAAATGCAATTATTGTTCCTAATTTAATCAACTGTGCTTCAAGATTTACTTCCAAGACTGTTTTGAATAGATATATGGACTTAAAAGGAGTCGACTATTTGCCAGTGAAAATGCCTAGATATGGTAAAATTCAACAAATGAAATTAGCAGCAAGAGAAATATTATCACTTGCAGAACCTGATTTAACTCAATTGTGGAAATTATCTCGTGATTGGTCGGTCTTGAGTGTTTATGGAACTGATGATCATATTGTCCCAAGATATGATTGTTCAAATTTCGCCAATACTTTAAATCGTGGTAGATATTCCCATGAATTAAAATTAATCCCTGATGCTGATCATAATTTCTATGGTGTACATGAAATTAATACCAAGGATGATATGGAAGATTTTAATCCTGGTAATTTACCTTTAAAAGGAAATAAAGTCAATTTTAATGTTCTTGTAACTGATTATATAATAGATTATTTACAACCAGCTAATGAAATGCAAAGATTCTTAAGTATAAGTAATGTGATTGGAAAAGTTGCAAGATGGAAAGATGTTGAAGGTGTGAATAATTTTAGAGATATTGGTGGTTGGAGAATTCATAATCCAACTTTCAAATTGGAAACCACAACAACAGGAGCTTCATCCAAGGAAGGTCATGTGAATTATTATGTTAGACCTCATTTAGCTTTCAGATGTGCCAATATTGCCGGGTTGACTGAAAATGGATTAAAATCATTAAAGAAATTAGGTATCAAGGCTATATTTGATTTACGTTCTGATGGAGAAGTAGAAAAAGATGGATTCCCACAAGGATTAGAAAGATATGGAATCAAGAGAATTCATTCTCCAGTATATTCAAAAGATGATTATTCTCCTGATGCAATTGCAATTAGATATTCCAATTTAATGACATCTTGGTCAACTTATGTTCATGTCTATGAAGATATGTTAGAACTTGGAACTGGTGCCTACAAGAGAGTATTTGAATTTATTAGAGATGAAAATCAACCACTTATTTTCCATTGCACTGCGGGAAAAGATAGAACTGGAGTATTAGGAATGTTGATCTTATTATTAGCTGGGATTGATAAGGATATGATCCGGTTCCTTATACTTAATTGTTGTCAACCTAATTCTGGACTAGTAGGTCATAATTGGGGGAAATTTAAACAAACAGTTAAGAAATTAAGAGAAAAATATGGTGATAATAATGATATTGAAGTTGCTATATCTCAAGGTAGAAAGAATTGGAAGATTGAAGAACATGGATTTGAGAATTTGGTTAGTTCAAGATATGAAGCAATGTTGGAAACTATTAATGTCTTCCATGAAAAATATGGTAATATTGTCAATTATATGAAGGATAAATTAGGATTCTCTCAACAAGATATTATCAAGATTTATGAACATTTAGTAGTTGTTGATCCTCAAAATAGTGGATTTGAGAATAGTACTCAGGTCAACTGGGATCATAGAAATCTGGGAAGAGCTAAATTCTAATACTTACATTCCTATCCATCTATTTATCTATCTACCATCCTTACACCATCTCTCTGCGATACAATAAATATTTATTTATATAATACACATTCTACTTTCTACATAATAGGTAATGGTCTCTGTTTAAATATCATCCTCTTCCTAACCACATCCACCAATTTAATCCCATCCTCTTCTTCCAAGCCTTCTTCCATATCATCCTCTCTCTTTATCGGCACCCTCAAAACCCCTAACGGTTTGTCTAAATTCACAATACTCCCAATTAATCGTTGTGATTTCCCAATGAATAATGTCACCTTCTTTTCATCACGAGTATCAAATTCAATCTTCCCAAACTTCACAGCATCATAGATCCTGTCGACAGTGATGAAATTCTCGGATATATATTCTTGTGTTTCTTCAGTGTTATTGGTTGGAACAGTGGTGGGAAGGTTTAATTCACCTTGGATTTCTATAATGACTAGTCCTAATGGAGAGGATATTATTGGATCTTGAGGGGATTTTGGGGTGGCTGTGGAGGGGGGTTGGGGATTTAGGATGGTTGATATTTGAGAACAATCGATTGAAGTTGTTGGCATCGTTATAGCTTGGGTTGAGTTGGATTGAGTTGGGGTGGATGGCAGGAGGAAGGCGGTAGAAAATTAAGACGCGTTTTTGGTGGGTGCGTTTTTGGTATCGATTTGCAACAAAAAAAATTAACTATGGTGATTGCTTGGTCACACCAATTATCTCTTCTTTTGCTTAATTACAGAATCCAATAATATACTCTATGCTCATACTTTCTAGCTAATGCATTTAATATGGAGTGATCCAATTGACTACTGTCTGTGGTGATTCAGTTTTCAAAATTAGTAGCCTATTCATTTATCTGAATATTTTATTCTCATTGATTCTTCAAGACAAAATAGTCAATACTGAGAAAGAAACTATACCTGACTTATAGAGACTATCTATAGAGGAGCATCTAATTGTTCTAGCTCCCGGATTGGTTCTACGTGTACTAGCATAATAGGTAGGAATGTCGAACCAAAGAATTCACCTAAATTGTGGTCACGTGACTAAATCATCGCAAAACCAAATTTTTTTGAAGTCTTCTCGACTTCCTTATCAAAACTACAACTATACCCCAACAACTCTTCTCTACCAACTCCTAAAAGCATAGCACTTCTATCACGATGTCTAGACCAGAACAACTTGCTCCGCCAGAAGTGTTTTATAATGACACCAAATCATTCAAATATACATCCTCAACTCGTGTCCAACACATCCAAGCCAAGATGACCTTACGTGCCCTTGAACTACTTAATTTAGAAAAAGACACGCCTCACTTCCTATTAGATCTCGGATGTGGATCAGGTCTTTCAGGGGAGATCTTGACTGAAGAAGGCTATAATTGGGTCGGAATGGATATTTCTCCAAGTATGTTAGCCACGGGTTTAGATCGAGATGTTGAAGGAGATTTATTTCTTGCTGATTTAGGGAATGGGATTCCATTTAGGGCGGGGACTTTTGATGCTGCGATTTCGATTTCGGCTATACAATGGTTGTGTAATGCCGATAGTGCCGGTGTTGATCCAAAGAAAAGAATGTTGTTGTTTTTTAATACACTTTATGCATCCTTGAAAAGAGGTGGGAAATTTGTGGCTCAGTTTTATCCTATGAATGATTCTCAAACTGAATCATTGATGGGTGCTGCAAAAGTGGCTGGATTTGGTGGGGGGTTGGTTATAGATGATCCAGAATCAAAGAGTAAAAAGAAGTATTATTTGGTGTTGACGGCAGGGATGTCTGATAGACAGATTAATTTGACTGGGGCTGAGATGGACGCTCCACAGCAAGCCAAAACTATGAATAGAAAGTTGAGAAAGAAGTTGGAAAGTAAGAAGGAATTCATTGGTAGGAAGAAGGAAACTATGAGAAGAAGAGGTAAGAAAGTGGCGGAAGATTCTAAATTTACCGGAAGAAAGAGACGCCCACGTTTCTAAAGTATGCTTCCATCTCTTCAGAATGTTATTCTTATTGCATCGTCTTTGTATATTAGTTTTCTTTTCATTGTATATTAGTTAAATTAGAAGTGTCCCCATATACACTGTTTAAATAATCATATTGTAATTTACTATGGATCTGTGTAATTTTCAGCACTAACAAATTTTCCATTGGTTCAAAAAAAATTGAAAATTTTGTTTTGACCTTCAAGAGACAGACACCCTCCATCAAGAAGCAACCCCCTGGCCACAACACATAATGTTTGGATTACTGGCTAATAGAGCTGTTATTAGATCAGCTAGCATAACGGTTCAACAATGCAGAACCTTCTTCCCATTAAGGTCTCGTATGTACTCACAACATTCATAAATCGGAGTCGATAAAATGTACTAACAAAACTTCCCATTAGCAAAACAACCTGTATTTGAACCATTACCTAAAAAGAGAAATGGAGAACCTATCATGGAATATGTAGTTTTTGTTAATAATTTTGAGGTACTAGGTAAGCCATTTTCTTTTCTTGAACATACCAAAACTGGATTAAGAGCAGGTGATATCATTAAAGTCACTTATACTGATAGAACCGATGTTACCGGGAAAGTCATTGGTATTAAAAGAGGACATAATAATTTAGGTACCAATATATTAATAAGAACAAAACTTCAAAGTATTGGTTCAGAACTTAGAATCCCACTTTATAATCCAAAAATCAGAAATATTGAACGTGTTTGGAAACCAGAAGAATATAGACCAAGAAACCAACAATACTATATCAGAGGTGCTAGATTTGATGTTGATGATGTTGAAGAGTTTGTTAAGCGTGAGATTTCTAGGCCGGCAAGAATGGCTATTAAAATGGCTAAGAGGGAAGCTGAACAAAAGGCTGAAGCTGTTAAAGCAGCAAAGAGAGAAGCTAAGAGATTAAAGAGAGAGAAATCAGCTTTGGAACATGCTTTGTCAGCTGCTAAAGAAAAAGAGCAAAAAAGCAAGAAATAAGAAGATAGTTTTCAACAAAAAAGTCCTTGTATATAGACTATATATATAATCCTATAATGTATTTGTATCTCATACGAACCTCGTCTAATCTCTAGACCCAAAAATGAGACAGAATTTATCTATCGGGACATTGGGTTATAAATATAGGACAGATTGGGTGAAGAAGTTCATCTAATCTATTTGAAAGTTCATTCCCAAATTCCGTTCTGAAATTTGGACTAGTAGCTTGCATCAAAGCTTCAAATGTTTCATATGTGGTTTCTGGATTTTCTCTATGATACCATCCACCTTTATCTACTGATATTCATCATAGGTTAGGAAGTACTCACTGATTAGCTTATACTAATCTGTTACTAAGCAGTGTAGCGGTGGGAGTGGGGGTGGTTTCATCTTCAGATTCGGGAAGACAAATGTGTAATTCACAATCAACAAAGAACTTTCTGTATTCTCCGTAGATTGTCCTTAATTCATGGACTTGCATCTCTGACTCCATCTTTTCAACAGGGGATTGATTATAATCTAAGAAAAAGGGATGGGTTTACATTTAGGGAAAGTTAAATTACAAAACCTTAAATGGTGGGTTTGGTATTGTAGAAAAAAAATCAATTCCCCCACCTGCACCACGAGTGCCATACATTTTATATGAGAACTCAAATTGCATATTAACATCGAAGATAAGTTAGCGCTTAAAGAATTGATTAATCATTCATTTTGTTTCTATCAAAATAGGAATTTAGCCGCTCGCTATTTCCATCTATAAATAGAATGTCATTCACAGTGATAACCAAGGGCAGACCTTACACGTCTTCAGGCTACGTGTTTCTAAACGTTATCAAATTACTAATATCCCGATGAAAGCAACAAGCTCTGTGGTATCAATTATCTCTATCAATACAGATAGATAATCTACAAGAGATATAGAGAGGAATATAGTCACAACTGATTCCCAGTATTCCATTTCATTGTCAACACCGGGCGCCCAGAAACGTGCTCCAAACTTAATTGGTTCTTCTACGCTTATGTTCACTTGATTATAACCTCCATTACCTTAATTAGCAAACTAAAATTAAGCCAACTTTTATAAAGGGTGATTATGCGATTGATGTTAAGGAAAGTCTTCTCTTTGTAAGTTTTCTAACTTTTAAAAAGACAAGTGAAATATCCGTACGTCAGGGTTAGGAAACGAATCGAATTTTCCGAATTTCGGGTTTTTTGATTCGTTTTTACATTTTGCTGGAATACCCGATTCACTCGAAGAAGCTAGCCAGTCAAATTCGAACTGAATTTCGAAATATTCGGAATACCCGAAACTAATATGGTAATTACTTGGCACAAACATTTAATGATTTATAAACATTACTTAGAAGTTCTATTTACTTTATCAACTTTAAAGACTTATACGCTCAATCTTCTCTGAATCAAGATTCTTCCAATTCTTCTCCATTTACCCCCCAACTCTTCAAAAGCATAAGTTTCTTAGCATTCAGCAGCAGAAGGCGGTTGCGTTGGTAGGAGATGATATTCCTAGCAATCGAAAATGTGCTTTCAACAGAAGCTGACGTAGCAGGTATGGCTAAATATCGTCTTGCCAAAATACTAAGAATAGGGTACACATCCTGTTTCACCTTCCAATAATCAAGCGCACTTGCAAACCTGTCTATAGTCGGATCAATTATATATGAGTCTACCTCACTGTATTTCTTTCTCTTGAAATTGTAGAGGTTAAGGTCATTCACTTTTGGTTCAGGCTCAATCTCACCTTCTGAAATGTCAGACGACACTTCTTTCAATTCATTCTCAAGAGACTTGTATTCTTGATCAAGTAAATACCTAATATCAAGTTCTATTCCTGGGTAAAAACATAATAGCTCACCTTCTAAGTAATGATTTAGTTTTGCCCTTGGATCCAACACAATGCTTAAGTGGTAAGCTTTGAATTTTGGTTAAATCTTCGAACTTCGTTACTGGAGGGAAATACTTGCATAACTTATTGATACCATTTTCAATGGAGCGGATGAGTGTTGTTAGAACCCAACAATTTTATATAGTTATTTAAGATAGAGGTTGAACCATTTTTGTAAAAAAAAAAAATGAAAATCACACAAAAAATACTAAATACGCGTGTTTCTAACGCGTTTTAAATTGCAAATCGTCCAAGCAGATTTATTAAAAATTGGCCTAGAAGCTTGTTTTTCTGATTTGTTTTCAGTAGACAGAGAAAATTTTGCTTAGTATTTGTTGCAAACTACATACATTTTGAAACACGAATTTTTCGAATCAACCTTCACGGCACCCAATTCACCCGATTCACCCATCCAGCGACTCCTATTTATTCGGAACGAGTATTCCCTAATCCCAAATTCGATTTATTCGGGTTGAATGAATATACCCGGAAAAATACCCGATTCGTTTCCTAACCCTGGGCATGCATCATCAAAAGCAGGGTAACCCCTCCCAGATAATTGTGTACAAATTTTTCACTTTGAGGTTTAACTTTTCTGATTTTGAAACATCATCTTTAACAGTTGAAAATTTAGAAGAGAACCCAAGTAATAATGTCTGCTTCGGCCACAATTAGTCCATCTAGATTCATCGGGGCAAACTTACATGTCAAAGTCAATGATTCCAGATTATTCGAAGGAGTTCTCACAGTAATTGATCCATTTGGAAACTTACTTCTTTCCAACGTATATGAAACATCAATTGATAGATTAAATAATAAGAATTTACATGTTAGAGAAATTGGTCTTGTTAGTATACCTAGAGAAACTATAGTATCTATTAAAGTAGATTCAAAAACACATTCACATATATTTGGATAAGGCTTAAAAATTAGCTATTAAAAGAAGATGATGATCGATCAGGTCGATTTTTTGATGTTTTAAACCTTGAAGGAGGCTTGGGGTTGATATCTTCCAGATATGTTGATCCTAATACTGGTTTTTTAGTTAAGCTTAAACTACTGATTCTCTTTACATGTTGAGATTTCCGTTTGGGTGCTGCTGAATCTTGTTGATAATATTTTACTGGTCGTTTAATTAGAACTCTTCTTGGTTTTCCTAAATTATTTGGATCCCGATATTTTTTAGGGACATTTATGGGTCTTCTAATTAGGTATTTTAGAGGTAACCGTAGTTGATGTAGCCAAAGAAGGGTAAGTGTTCCACGATCTGGATTATATTCATTGTCACTATCATCTTCACTGGGGGGATGAGGAGGAGGAGGTCTGTTTTCTCTTCTTGGGGCAGGTTGAGGATCAGATGGTGTTGTATATTTGGGTGGTAATTTTTGAACTCTGGTTGGTCTTGGCTTTCTAACATTTGGAGATTGAGGTTTAGATGGACCGCCACGACGTGGAATTAATGGTTTATTAGCTGGAGCCTTATCATCTATATTTTCATCATTATCGTTATTGTTAAACAAAAACAAAAGAAAGTAACCAAAACCACCGGTATATCGACGACCTCCTATACGATTAGTGACAGTTGGTCTTCCATGTTCTAAACAAGTACCCATAAAATGATCTCTAGCACTTAGGAAGGTTCCGTAGGGACATATATCAACAAGACAACCAATTAATTTATCTTCACTAATACATGCACAAGTAACATCAGTTAATTTTGAATGACAATCTCTAGTGACTTCTCCTACACAACTTAGAAAACATGAAGGTGGTGTTGCATTGACTGAATATAATAATGTAAATAGAAGTATGAATCTTAATATTGACATTTGATCAATCTCTTTATTCATTGAAAAAGTGAAGTTAATTATAAATTAATTTAACCGCTGCAAAAAAAAAAATTGCAGCAATAAAAATTGTTTTATTCTCTTGGTACTGTAAATGAATTATTTTTAGATCAAAGAAGGAGGAGACTAGACCTAGTAGAGAATAATAGTTCTAGGTGCGCGTAAATTTGATTAATAGTTATCTTCGTGTGACTATCGAGAAAATTTGACACAATTTTCAAATCTGTAAATTATATGATTCAATGACTAATCGAATATATTTTATTCGCTGGTTCCTTCCAAAAGTCTTAGTCAAAGGCTTTGGGGTAACGTTCATTGTTTTGTTAGAGGCGTATTCTTTATTCGCTGTTTGTTTTTATTTGCTTAAAGGGAATTGTAAAAAGAATGTCGGTGTTATTTTAACTGTTTTACTAAAAAATAATTCTTCTATTAAAAATCTGCCACCAAACCAACCCAACCAGCCAAAAAAAAAAAAAATTGAGAATTTCCTTTAAAACCTTTTCTTTTCTATATTTAATTAATTTACTTTTAAAATCAATCCATATTTTAATAGAAATCATAACTAACTTCAACGTAAACCATAATGCAAGGAAGTTATAGTAAGAATGGTTTACCAAGACCATACTATATGAAACCAACAAAAAAGAAGCGTTCATCTCCTTATGATAATCTTAAACAACCAATCGTCTTTTTCACCAATTCTAAAAGAAAACTAGGTGGTTATATAGTAATGCTTTTATTATTTGGAACATTAATGTGGTGGATTTCACAAGATTTAAAAGCAGCTCCAGAACCAACTTATGAAATTGTTAAGAATGAAAATATTAAAGAACCAAATCAAAAAATAATAGATACGGAAAATATTAATTTAGATAGAATGGTTAATAATGTTGATAATAAGAAGGCTGATAAAGAAATTGAAAATGTCGATTTAGCAGGAAATTTAGCCCAAGATTCAAAAGGTAAAATGGGATTGGGAGTTGTAGAAGCTCCAAAAGGTGGTATTGCAAATGAAGCACCAGTTGTTGGAAGTGATGAAGATAAATTAATTGGTACAGGAAAGGGAAACAGAAGCCCTAACAAAAATCAACAACCAATTGGATCACAACCTGAGAAAAAAGGGTATAAGGCAGAAGTAGCCGAAGAAGCCGGTGGTGTTCCACCACCTAAAGGTGCAGGTGTTCCTCCAGGTGGCGTCGCAGGAGTACAACAACCAAAGATTGTTCCCCAAGCAGGTGGTGCACCGGCTGTGCCTCCTTCAAAGGATGAAGTCCGTAAGGAAGCACCTAATAAAAAGAAAGTTCAACAAATCATTAAGGATACTGAAGAAATTGGCCTGTAGGTGGGGGGGATATTATTATGCATGATAATGACCTAAGGACAAATTTGTAAATAATGGATAAGAATCTTCTTCTATTAGGATAAGATTGTCTTTTATAGAAATAGTACTATATGTAATTTAATAAATTATAAAAAAATATATATACATCATACAATTCCAATAAACCAGATCTAATCTAACGAAGTGATAATATCAAATCTTTCAAATCATCACTAAAAAATGAAAGGGTGGAAATAGGTTGCAATGATCGCTTTTAGGCTTTTTGCAAACCTGTCCTCAAGAGAATAGTTAGTTATTCAATACAAGTTCGTACTTAACATAACAGCCACCACACAAAAAAAATTACATTAGGTCCAGCTGGGAATCGTTGGGTCCAGGGGCCTTAGTCTTAGGCTACACTATCCCACTACACTACGGGACCGGTAAAAACTACCAAAAATATTGCTATTTAGGTGCAATGTTGTAAAATTAGCCAACTCTATCTCCCTCAATATGAGCCCTGTGAGTCTTACCTTAAGGCGGCAGGTGGTATTAAGGTAGTAAATTAATCTTACCTTCTCAGAATTTGGTTTTCTTTTTGGGTTGTTGAGAAAAATTC